TCGCGGAACTCGTCGAGATAATTGGCATTCTGTTTCGACGAATCAGAGACTCGTTACGCTTCACACGCCAGCGTCACACGATAAAAAACGAAACGATATGTTGTTCACATGTACGCATATATCCCTCTCCCTTACTTCGCTATTCCGGACATCATGCGCTCGTGATCATTAAACTGTGTACCACGGGATAAGTATATTATATATTTCACGTCGGAATCGGTTACGCGCGCTGCAAGAGAAAATCGGTCGTTGAATTTTAGGCCCTGCAAGAATCCGTCCTTTCTGTCGTCTCTCTTCGTCTTCTTCTTCTTCTTCCGCCTCTCTGTCTCTCTCTTTCACTTCTCTCTGTCTTATCTTCTTCTCTGTCCCCTTTATTTCTTTCATTCTGTATCACGTTCTCATAAGTACGGGCACGTTCGGCATCGCTTATCCTGACAAATATTTGTCGACTGAATGAGAGCACACCGTTGCGCTTAGGGACAAATCCTGAGGGATGGGTCGGGAGAGATTCGCGTGGGAATAATGCGGCTGTGTTAGAGTTTTCATTGCGAGCGAACATATCGGGGATACACACGGGGTAACGGCGTGGCCGAGAGAAAAGAGCAAGCGCGCGTCAAGACGGATGATCGTAACCCGTTCTCCGTAAAAGATGGCGCATTGTGCGCATTTCGTTTAGGCGAGACAAAATTCATAAACGTGAGGCTGCTCATCGGGTGAAGGAAATACGGACGGAATCTCGCCGAGCGAGCACTGATTGGCATTATTGGCCCTCTCCCCATCGAGATCTCGTGGAACCCTCTGTGAACCTGAATGAAACCTTCTAAGCAACGGTCGAAGCGACGGCACGGGCGGGTCGGATCGACGTTAAAAATCCCGAAGGGAGCCTCTCCGGGGTGCGATCGAGGAAATTAGTAGAGCAAATTTGTGCGAAGACGTGATGTGAAAACTTTTAACTTTAATTGAATTTTCTCTCCGGCTGCCCTTCTCTCGTGCCGCGTTCACCTCAGCGATAATGTATCGTATTATGCGGCTCTCTCGCGAACCATTTTTGACGCATTCACGACCGTCGAGTTAATTATACAATCGCATTTATCATAACAATATGAAAAAGAGAAAATGAGATAGCCTTAAGTGCAAGCGATAAATATTACGCCGCTCTTTCCTCGGACACGAGCTAAAGAGAGAGATAAAAGTCACGGCGGTATAATGATACGGTCCACAGAGGGTTCGCGAGCGTTATTTTTCGCGACACATCCCACTATCCCATTGCCATCAGGACGATTGCCGAGACAACAGCGATGATATATAATACTTTCCTATAACTCGCTAAAAACGACCCGTTTTTCGCAAGGGGGGAATCGAGAGAGAGGGATTCGACTCGACCAATTAGCCTTTTGTCGCCTCGCGATAATCGAGTTGCGCTTCTCCGCCCGTGTAAGTGCATCTGCACTCCAGACACGTTTAAATATCTCGTGCGATTTCCCAGGGGGTGGGAGGGAGTGGAGGGAAAGGGACAGTAACAAATCGCCGTTTCCGCGTTAATTACGGACGACGCGAGAAAAAGGAGCGCGCCGGCCCGCTTCCGTCGAGAGCGGGCGGCCGGCTTAAACGGCAAACATATCGCCCTGGTGTATCGTGTAACTCGAGAATTTCGTCCGTGAGAGAGGGTGTAGAGGATGGCGCGCGATGACTGTCGTTCGTTTAAAGGTAAGAGCCAGGGAAAAATTACGAGCCAGCTGTTACGCGCGCAACAGCTTCGTATATACACAGCCAGGAATATCGGAGGCTGCCTCTATCTTAACGGCTGCAGGGGAGGGTCGTTCGACGTAAAGTTCCGAGGGCTGCATTGCGGGCTGCGGTTAACCTCCCTCCCCCCCTTTTTTCTTCCTTTTTTTAAATATAGAACACTGATGATTTTTTGGATGCTTTGCATTTGTCATTGTGTAGCATAATATATTGAGATATTGACTGTGTGCTAGATCTTGATACGCCAGGAATTTTTATGTATGAAAATCCCACCCCCCCTTCGACGTGTTGTTCGTTGTGTTATTAACATTATAATTTTACGTTGTCATCATAGGTACGCTCGATGACACGACACACTCGATTACTCCACGTATGACGTAATGAAAGTGTTATTATAAAAAAAACTGTTTATTGGGTTGCAAAAGAAATATACAAAATTTCGCAATAATTGCACATATTTATTTCGTTTCGCGCAATTTATTCGAGCTGGCTTGGAAAGGTGATTTAAGGTCTCCACGAGGACGTATACCGCATGTATATTGCGACAATTCGTTTGTAATTCCTATCCTCCACTTTTTAATCGAATCGAGTGCGAAACAGTCTCTCCGCTAATGGCAATTCTTCTGTCGGTGTCATAGAGCTTTGCGCAGAAAGGTGCACATTATACGTATATTCGAGAGAACAACTCGATTTCCCGATTCCGAGATATTCCGACGGCGCACGATAGACGGAATCTCCGTAACGTCGTTTATGCGCACGAGATACTTTTCATTTATACGGACACAAAAGCGACAATCGCTTTTATCTCGAGAGATGCGTAAATCGCGAGCGCATGTCGCAATCGCGGTAGTGTTGCACACGATATTCTTAATCCCAAGGAAAAAAAAACTCGTCGTGTTACACGGGAAAGGATAAGTACCTTGAAGTACAAACGGGCATCCACGCAAACGTGTTTAGCGTATTTTCTTTCTTTGTGAGCGATGTATTGCTAGAGAGAAAACGAGAAATACGACGCGTTGTGTAAAAGAAAAAAAAAAGTAAAGAACGAAAAAAAAGGCACGAACGTAAACTCGAGAAGAGGGTGACCGGTGGAATCCTCCATTTGGCGGCATGTTCCTCAATTTTTCAGAAAACTTTTCGCCGATATTAGATGCGTGCGAATACGGCCGAGTCGCTAAAAAGTTAACGACGGAACAAAACCACGTGCTATCGGACGAGTTAGAAGCGGAGGAGCGGGGAAGGGAGCGAAACACAGCACCTCAGTGTGTGTGCGGGCTCTGGCACACACTTTAAAGTGAAAACTAATACCGCAAGCCGACAGGGAAAAGAAGTTAGAAAAAAAAAGAGAGAGAGAAGGGCCAACGGAACGTTTTTCACGTTTAAAAATAAAAAAAAAAACACCGTAGAGCGAAACTGCACTGCACCGGAGCGCGGAGGATAGACGAAAAATTGGCGGTCGGTAGGTCGAAGGGAACAAGGAGAAAGGAAGAACAGATAGAAAACGAGAAAAAGGAAAGGGAAAGAAACATGTATTTACGAAAAAGCAACTTTGCACTCCCTTTTACCTCCCCCCCAACCCTTCTGAAATAGGAAACAGGGCACGGGACTACGCACGCGCCACCGCCAGGAACGGTCGCAGGCGAGGCTGCGGGGAACACACGAGAAACACCGTGAGCGAAACTGCATGCGTTCTCTTTTAAACTAACTTGCTAACAGATTGCGCAATATAGTGCCCGAGACATTTCTGGCATTTGATCTGATTACATCTGGTAGGTCCTCGGTGTTCGCTTTTGCATGGCCCTTGACCCCTTCGCCCCCCCCCCCCGCCTCTCCCCTCGCCGCCTCTCACACCACCCTCCCCATCTCCTTGGCTGCGCCAGTGTTATTCGGAGCATTTGACGAACAGATCGGCTATTGATGTCCTGTCGCCTGCTTGTAAACGCCGCCCTCGAGTCGCATGATCGCTTTTGCCCCCCGTGGAAAAGCGTCCCCGGCGGAGAGAGAGAAAGGAGAATGCGCGTTTCAATAATTCCAATCCAGGATTTCGTCTTCCCCGGGAACGCTTTTCCCCACCGCTGCGAGATATAGCATATCTCTCCGGTTCTCTTCTGTTTCATATTTTCTCGACACACACATTACCGGGGGTGATAGATAGTCGTCACGGATTGACGCGTGTTGCACGTCGCCCCAGGTGCAACTCGATAAAATGACGTCCTTCCACCTGGATTGCATCAGTTTCGATCCGTGACGAGTTAACTTATCGACATGCGCGATTACGCCAAGGGAGATTAATATCGCAGATGTGGGTTGAACACTGTTTGACGAATGTTTGACTGACCTCGTTTAATCTGTCGTGATTAAAATCGCGCAGCATTGTTGAAAAATTATTTACGTTAATTTTCATATCTCGTTATTATGGTATATAATCTGTTTATCCGTTATGTGATGCAAAATATACAATTTGTGTGTAATGTTATCAGATCTAGTGGTCTTTATTTAAAAAAAAAATTAAAAGAAATATGCCACCGTGTATGTCAATTGCCGGAACGACGTCAGAATACTCGACCTGTTCGAGAATACAGCTCTTTAACGTAAAAGTGCAAGCCACATCTGCGTATCATCACTTCTTTTCTTAACGGTAAGAATATCGACAACCAGTTTGGCGTGGCACGTCCCGCAGTGGCGATAATATTATAGATGGAAAGAAAAATTCTCTTTGTTACGAGACGTGTGAAATAATCGTTTTTTTTTATAGGTGCGAGATTTTTATCGAAAATACATTATATATACATGTAAAGAGGAAGGAAAAAAGATTACGTGGTACAAATAAGTTCTTTTATAACTCGACTTTCCTTTTATGTTTTTATTAGATTCTCCGTCACGTTGAAATGTTATCACGGACACCGGAATTCGCTTCTGAGAATGTGATCATTATCGAGAATTAAAAATAATAATAATTATAATTAAAACTCATTAAGCGCGAAGCTATCATTTGCGCGAAGCTCTATTATCTTTATTCTCTTCACAAAGACTACACTGCTATTACAAATACTATATCTGATTCGAAATGAATTTAGGCTTCCGTCGCTCTTTTTCATTTCGTTACGCACGTTCTTCTTTTTTACGTTTCTCTTACGAAACTTTATAATTGGAAGGACTATCGCTCTCACTAAAGAGGAGAAAGGAATAACTCGCTACATCACTCGCCGTAACGCGCGACGCTGTTTAATCGCACTTATTCTTCTTCTCTCCAGGAATACTCCGTACAATTAACATTTCGGGAACAATGGTTGGATGAGAGATTACGGTTTAACGACTTCGGAGGTACGTAAAAATTCACAATAACATTTTATAACTCGTTTTCCAGTTTGAAATTTCCACGCTTCTGGGTATCGATGTTTCGACGTTGATAAAAGTCATGACGCGTGTCACGAGTGTAAGATAAGAGCAACAGTAATACAGCGGTCATGCAACATGCGTGTACGCGATACCGTCTCGTATATAAATATCAGAATAATAGTTTTAAAGGTAGAATAATATTCCCTCGCAAATGGTGGGTCGCAAATATCAAAAAGCACCGATCAAAGCTCATCATTCCTTTTATTTTCGATAAATGCCAGAGTATCTTTACGCAAAACCCGTTGGTATTACGCAAACCCGATGTCCTGCGGTCAACGCGAGAAGTTCCGGACGCACAAAGGGCGCGCGTAACATACTTTTTTGTCATGTTGCAATTACATCGCGCTGCAAAAGGGCGAATCGTAACATTTTATTCGCGAGGCGCCCCGGTCGTTACGCAAATGTAATAGCGGCTATTTTTATCCCCCTTTCGCAAATTACCGCTGATATATCCGCGCACTTTCCGCACGCTGAATGAAACGCTAACGAGCGATACCGTTAATTTCGTAACACCAATTTTTCACGCGGGTGTATCCCGCTTGTTCGTTTGAACGTTTCAGGTAAACTTAAATATTTAACCCTGACGGAGGCGAATCGCGTCTGGATGCCGGATCTGTTCTTCTCGAACGAGAAGGAGGGTCACTTCCACAACATCATTATGCCGAATGTATACATACGAATTTTCCCGGAAGGCTCGGTTCTTTATAGCATACGGTGAGTACCGGCGTGTATGTGAAGTGTAATCAAACGTCCGGTTAACGCAGAGTCGGCTTAATCAATGAGATTTTTTTGCTCTTTTTTTGCGAAGAATCGTTGACGTGTCGCTTTTTCTTTCTTTCTCTTTTTTTTCCTTCGCAAACTTTGCTCGAAAGGGTCGGTGGTACCGAAATTAAAGCCGCACAAGCTCTCGATGTTTGATGTCAGACGAGAATTTATTATCCATCTGTACCCGCGCGATAATCAAACGTCGCAAAATTCGCTTCGCTAATGTACACACCGGGGATTCTATCCTGTGTACATACCGTGCGGGATGACCAAACACACGCGCCGTTTCGTTACATTGCGAATTGGATTCTTACTTCCACTGGCATTGTATAAACCATCGCTGTTTTTCTTCCCCTGGCGCAGGATATCCTTGACGCTCTCGTGTCCCATGAATTTGAAACTGTATCCCCTGGATCGACAAATTTGCTCACTTCGTATGGCGAGTTGTAAGTAGTTTTCGACGACTCGGGAAAACTCCGTTTTTCCGTTCCATTCAGCTCGAATTTAGCTCCAGCCAATAAATGTTTCTTCGTTAAACGTTAACGAAGGATAACCACTTGGTCCAATAATAACCATCCTTCGTCCGTCCCGATAGATGGATGGACGACGAACGATTTGGTCTTTCTCTGGAAGGAAGGTGACCCCGTTCAAGTGGTCAAGAACCTACATCTACCCAGGTTCACCCTCGAGAAATTTCTCACGGACTACTGCAATAGCAAGACGAACACCGGTAAGTGGTGGACTTACATAAAGAAGGAAAACCTTGATGAATTCATATTATCGAACGATTTTAACGATGAAATGAAAAACAAAAAAAACAGGAGAGTACAGCTGTTTGAAAGTGGACCTGCTGTTCAAGAGGGAATTCAGTTACTATCTCATTCAAATCTACATCCCGTGCTGCATGCTCGTTATCGTGTCTTGGGTGTCCTTCTGGCTGGATCAGAGCGCCGTGCCTGCCCGGGTGTCACTAGGTACAAAATCATTATCTAAACGCAAAGCGATGTATCGCGAATTTTAATTGATATAATCTAGAATTACAATTTATTTTATTTATTGACAAAAACGAGTATTTATGATAACAAATTTGAAATTGCAACACTAGACGCGATACTAATAATAGATAATGAGGAGCAAAATATAATTGCCGTGAGATAGAGAGATTAAAATAAATAAATTAGGTTATATAAATAAAATAAATTTTCGAAGGTATTCATATTTATACCTAGAAACAGGAAAGTCAATAATACTATTCAAAGAACGAGTGGATCTCGAGTGAATCCGATTGGTTGAATCTATTTTTAAATCTATCCTAAAATAAAATACGAAGAGGCGAAATGTACATATTGAAACGAATTATTCAAAGAGTAGTTAATGCAGCTATTAATGATCCTAGGGGGGAAAAAAGGGAACTTTTGCATTATGCACACTTTTATGTTCCCTCGTCTGTTCCATCTAATTTTTTAATCGCGTTTATCGATTCTTCTTGTCAATCGCGAGAATCTACAAAAGTCCGTCCGTCTTCTCCCGTCCAGGCGTTACGACACTGCTGACGATGGCCACGCAGACATCGGGGATAAACGCCTCACTGCCACCGGTCTCCTACACAAAGGCTATCGACGTCTGGACGGGGGTGTGCCTGACCTTCGTGTTCGGCGCACTGCTCGAATTTGCGCTGGTCAACTACGCGTCGCGTAGCGACATGCACAGCGACAACATAAAGAAGCAGTTCCCGCCGAGCGATCAGATGGAACACTCGTCGTCGATCGACCCATCGTCGGAATTGCTCGAGCCGGATGGATCTGTCAACTTCGCTATGGTCAGTATACCAAGATATGACGTTTCTCGAACGTTCCTTCTCCACCCACGCGCTCAAGATAGCTCTCTCGTTTTGGTCGATAGCATTTATATTTGATCTGGTCATTCGTTATGGAGAATTGCAACTGAAAATTCCGAGTTTTTGTGCATTAAAAGAAGAGATCAGAGTTTTTTTTTAGACGCTTCTTCTAGATGAAAATAAGATAATAATTAGTCTTTTTATTCGGCAAAAGCGCGAGGCACGAGATTCTTTCGGTTATAGGATTGAAATGATTTGAATTTAAGGGGTCCAGAACCAAGTATGCGAGAAATTAATGGATCAACATCATCCGAATTCTTTCAGAAGCCTTTGGTCCGACACCCGGAGGATTCCATGTCTATGGATAAGCTGCAGCAGTGCGAAATACATATGCAACCACGGAAAAAAAACTGCTGCAGGTCGTGGCTGTCCAAGTTCCCGACGAGGTCCAAGCGCATCGACGTCATTTCACGGATCTTCTTCCCAATCGTATTCGCTTTCTTCAACCTCACGTACTGGTCCACGTACCTGTTTCGGGAGGAAGAGGGAGACGAGTAAGTCTCGAGGAGGAGGCGCTCGGATCAACAAGGGAAGTGGCTCGCGGCCATCCTCAGCAAAAGCAGTTCCAGCAGGCACGACCGCCGCAACAACGTTCGCGTCCTCGTCAACGACAACTGTACCATCATCCTCAAAATCGTCATCATCATCATCACCACTCTCAAAATCACCATCATCATAATCATTTTTATCATCAGCCGCAACAGCAGACTCATCCTGGCAGCAATCCGTCGATGACGCAACATCATTCGCTGCCACGTACGTACCAGCAAGAGCATCAGCAGCAGCAGCAGCAGCATCACCACCACCATCATCAGTTACATCATCATCAGCGCTATCATCCTAATCGTTCGCCGTCACCGTCTTTCTCGCTGTTGAATGACGAAGACTGCGTCGCCGGCCGGTGCTCGCCGATGAGGGCACCGCGACACCACTCGCGCAGGAGCTCGGCGAGGTCGTCGCCGTCGCCGTCGCGATGGCCCTCGCCGGCCTCCTCGGCGTCGCCCTTGGGCACGCCGTCGCGCAATCTGTCGCGCGCCGCGACGCCCTCGCCGCCGATCGCGGCGCCAGCTTCGTCCGCGGCACCGCTGTCGACGGCGACGGTGGACGCGGAAACGCGCTGCTGGGACTTGAAGCGGAAATTGTGCACCTGTCATACCCAAGGCAGCGCGAGGATCGACATCTTCGCGCGCGTTGCCTTCCCCCTCATGTTCGTTTTCTTCAACTTCGCGTACTGGTCTATTTATCTGTTTCGCGGCGAGGACAACGTGGGTACAAAGAATTGACAAGAGAGGAAAAGCGTATACAGAATAACGTGTACGAAACCAAGTCGAGTGCGATCCGTCAAGTCGAAGAAATCCTTGAGGAAACACCTCATAGGCAAACTCTATATACAAGCGTCAATCGTAGGATAATACGTTAACATCAACGACATCGCAAAAATCAGATCGCGTTTGCTCGACTGAGGACCGATCGAAGGCACTTCGACGAGGAGATTCCTCCGTTGCCCGCGTCCGCGAATACGGGAATATTCCAGAACGAGAATCATCTAAGGATTCTAAGGCTCAACGAGGATGTTAGCGACGTTCGGTAGACATCTCGCGACGGTCAAATGATGATGAGGACGATGACATGTAATACTTTAGCTGTGTACTGTATCTCACGCACACAAAATACACACATACACAAAAAAAAACACACGCATGCAACTTACATACATCGTACCTCATGATCCGCTCGGAAGACCGCGTGCCACAGACTGAATTGAAAGCGTAGTGGGCCCTGTATAGCCACGGCCTGTTAACAATTAAAGAAAAAAAAATGCGTAAAGTTTATAAGTATAACTATATCTACGTTGCGCGAGATCGCGCGTTGTCGGTCCGCGGACGCGTCCGCCGTTGCGAAATTAACGTTGGACAGTTCGCCGGATCCGGTAAATATTACCGTAAGACGGGATAACGATGAGGTGACACACAGCACGTCGAGACAATGAGGATCGATTTCCAAATGACCGCGCCGAATGACTAGTGCTTGTGGATGAGCAAGATGTTTCGTTGTTTCAAGAATATAAAATAATCGACATTGGCTCGCCGTGTCGCGTGTTATGTGTCCCTTCTCAAGGCTGCATCAGATGCACACGAAGAATCGACTGCGGAATGTTCGACGCTGGAAAAAAAATATTGAAAGCTATGTATCTACTATAGAAAGTACTACGCCGAACGTTCCGATGATCTTTCGCGTGTATAGGACAGCCTGTTGATATGAGCTGGCGTTTATCAATTCTAGCGGTACCAAGCGACGCGGACCGGAGCGTCGAATCCCAATGTCTGAATTGTCGTATTTTTTTTTCTTTATCCCATATAATTTAAAAGGAAAGTGTCAGGGAATAACTGTCGCGAAATATAGAAATGGAGAAACAAAAGTACTCGCAACCGTTGTAATTTATAGCAAATATGTCGGTGGATTTCAGAGAAATACACATCCCCTTGATCTTTCACCTCTAATAATATACAAGATGTCTTGGTATCGCTAGGCTCAATCCTTATCCGGACAATTCTTCTTTCCTCGCGAAGAAAAAAAGCCATACGCTCGCGGAAGCAATTATCTGACGTAAGTTATCGGTGAACGGAGATTCGAAGCTTTTTAAACGATAATTTGTAGAGAAACATTGAGCGAACGCGAAGGATCACAGAGGTCCAGCGCAGTTTTCCTTCCTTCCGAGAGGAGAATCCGGAGCCCGGATGAGGATTGAACGCAAAACGCGGGGTGCGAGCCGAGGGCGATCGCGGGCTCGCGATACGAAGTATTGGCGAAGCGGTCGCGTCGCGCGCGCACCGCGCACGACGTATTTCCTGTTTCCGCTGCCCCGGGTCGGCGTTCGCGTTCAGGGAGGCGACTCCCGGCGACGCGGCATGGGGCTCTCCCCACGTATATTGCTCAGAAGAGATCGACGACGCCGCGCCCGGAAATCTCTACCCGTCGACCTTGTCCGTCGAGGAGCTGCGGTGTCGTCGACCTCGCGGATGGAACGAGGAGACGACGAAGACACGCAAGAACGTGCTCACAAAGAGAGAAAAAAAAACGTAAAAAAAAGAGCAAAGATAAAAAAAAAGAGAGAAAGCGGTGCGGACGATTGTATTTTTTGAAACACGACGGGAGACGCTACCCCCAAGCGAGAGACGACATAGTGCGTTTGCCGGCGTCGACGACGGCAAAACTCGACGAAAGCACCCCACCCCACCCCACCCCCCCTCCCCTCCTCGGCTCCGCGTCTGATGACGAATAATGAAGAACGAGGGCGCGATTAAGGCGAATGACGTGTCGCTGACCTCCGATTTTGAATCTAGAAAATCGCCCGGAGGATGATTTCAGCCTCCGACGAGTGGTTCGCGACGGGGCGAGTTTCGTCGTTGCGCGACATGCCTGATCGCATCCCCCGTTCTTCCCCGTTCGTCGTCGTACCTTCCTTTTACTTCGTGCAACCGATAGCATAGCGCGTGCGTAAGAAGCGAGAATCTCGCGGGCTCGACAGTCTGCCCGCGATACATCGGCGAGGAGTGTCTCGCGCCTCCGTAGAACCGCGTGTTGTATCTAGGGACAGGCGTACGTATGGATAAGTCACTTCTCTCTATAAAAAAAAAAAAAAGATTATGATTCCATAAGATTACATTCCATCAGGACGCGAGAAAACTTATAAATCGATTCCGTCGTTCTGACATCCGACATTCGTCTTTATAAATAGCGCAAAGTGAATCTGTCTCGAGGTGCAACATGCCAATCTGGTTCCATGAAGCGCGAAGAAAGAACGGAACGCGTTCTCATGAAAGATTTAATCGTCGTAAAAATGCAGATATGTCATTCACGACTGTGTTTTTTTATAACGAATCGCCGCACTTTTCAAAAGTAATTACCGTAAAGGGATTATCAAGCTGTGCGAGGGTAACGAGTTTATATTTACGTCACGATTCACACTATTAGAGGGATTATTCGAGTAACGTTTAGGCGGGCTTCTTTAAAATCCCCGGAGGGATGGAAACCGCATCATTAGCCAGGCGAGAATTATTTTTCATTCGCACGATCTCGGCAATCGAGGATACATTCGCACGAATTTGTTTCTCTTCGACCCTTTCGGGAAGGAGACTCACTCTCTCTCTCATCATGGATAATAGTTCAATAGTTCGTCTCGGTGACGCCGAGCGATGACCCGATTATCGTTTTCCTGGAAATTCAACATTGAGCATTGGTGAAATCGGAACAGAAGCGAACAAGTGCACACTGTAATCTCTCGACTCGTAAGTCGTCATCAAGCTCTCCCACCTCTCACCTCGTGTAATCCCGAGAAGAGCGCTGACGTATTTGCGTAGAATTCGGATTGTACACGTAGGAATCGGGAGCGATTCGCCCGGTGCCAGTTGCGCGACTATGCGTAAGGTATCCGAACCAATATCGTAATGACGTAATCCAAGTAGACGAACAATAACTGTGCAGTATTAATCACGAACGTGATGTGAAGCAATAATCGGAAGGAACACCCAATTCTTCTCATTCTTTATACCGATTGTTTCAACGTATTCTTGTATAGTATAATCGGATCGGTAGACGCATAGTGTAGACGGCCCGATGGTCATCCTCGGTTTCCTGTTTTCCTGCTAAGTTCACTCGGTATTTTACTCCGTGCCTATCTGTATCGTGTCTACGTGTATGTGCGGTTTGGATATAGTACGCGTGGACACATCGTGGTTTCCGCGTAAACACCCGATATTACCGGCTTCCGCGGGTGAAGCTTCCGCGGGGCGGGTGCGACACACACCCGTGTATATTTAGGGATGTCTCTCCGTATGTGTCCTACGTGAGAGACTTAAAGGGACACAAAGCCAGTATTTGCGAAGCGATTACACGTAGAGATCGGCGATAGATCGCGCGTAATCTGTCCTGCGCCTCGTTGGCTGTACATACATATAATAAATCGCGATGGTGTGTGTGCGTTTAAACGAGCCTCCCGATGGCCGTATCCGCGCGCAAGGTGTCTGTGCCATGCGCGAAATTCATCCGGTGCGTCGCCACGGTCCGAATTAACGAACTTAAACAGCTGCGGAATCTCTCGCAGGGCTAATCAAGGATCAGGCTAATAGGATGATCCGCGCGAAATCTTTCACGCCATTCTCGAAAAGAGAAAAACCAATTTCGACAGATGCGTCATGAATTTCGGAATATTTCGCTTCGTTTCCACTCACGCGAGAAGCCACAAGTCGATCGAGAGATTATATATCGTTTTGCGCGTAAAATACCACGAGATCTCTTAACACCGCAATTGTACAGAGCAGTTGTAACGAGCGAGGAGAAACATCCTCTCTCCGAGAGACTATACTATATTCCTGGGTTTTATATATATATTCGTTTGATTTGCATTAACGTAGCTTATGTTAAAAGCGAGGGATTGAACTCGATTTGTATGTTTAATTTGCGACCGAGAACCGCTTCCAACGCGTTGTCTCGTCTCCCATCACCGGTTCGCTTCCTCTCTTCGAGAAGCCGCTGCTCCTTGGATCTTGAAGACGAGGCTCTCTGAGTACCTTAACGGCTGCGGACAATTGACTGACGTTTAATTATAGATTTCATCGAATCCGCTGCACGCACGCGCTGCAGGCACACGTGTCACCGACAGACGCGGGTATCCTCCTCAGTTCTTCCAACGTGAGTAAAGTGCTGAAAAGAAAGAGAAGAGCTGAAAGCGGATTCCGGAACGGAGATCGGAAGCTGGCGTTCGCGTCCACGCTGAGGAGGATACACGGTGACCGGAAGTTAAGGACGACCGTGTAAAATTTTCACCCTCACCCCTCACACTCGTCACTTGCTTGCTTGGAGCTCTAACTTCGGGTCCAGGCGAGATCGATTCGCACACGACCCGAGAAACACATAGTGTCTCACCATAGACACATATACACACGCGAACTTATTACACATAACACATGAAATATATGACCCTCGCACGCACACAAAGTACGATCCTGTTGTATCGAGGATATAATTATAAGCGCGCCATAGCTCTCTCTCTCTCTCTCTCTCTCTCTCTCTCTCCCATGTCCGAAGACACACCTAAAAGGATTTTAATGTTATTGTTATATGCGTACGTTGTAATATATGTGAACGAAGCATGCTGAGCCCTGTAAAAAAAAAAAATAAATCCCTCCTTTACCCCTCTCAACTCAACTGCAAGGAGCTTGTTACACGCGTGTGCACACACGTACAAATATCCATGTACGTTTCCGCGAGGAAATGCGTTTATCCGCGGCACGTTGTATCGCGAGGCTACAGCCCGATGGGAAAATCGTACTCGTTAATTAACGTTACGATTGGAACATCGGCGGTGTGTCGTTTTCTTACAATCACGAAATGGACGGCGAGCGGATCCGCCGGTGCGGCCTCGGCCAGAAGTATAACATACACGGTGCATCCTACGGATATGAATGCTGAGTCCAGCATTCTGAAAGTGACAGGCACAGTAAATTTTTATGTCGAACCATCATCAATTTAAACTGTGTGAAACGCGATGGTTGATAGAAATTTACTGTGTCTTTTGATTCGATTCGAATGTGCAACCCGAAAGCTTTCGGTCGAGACCGCGCGTGTGGACCACCTCGTAATCGCGATCGAGTCGTTCGAGATCACCTCTTTCCCCTCCCCTCCATCTCGATTAATCCCTTGAAAACCGCGCTCGCCCCGGAATAAGTATCGACGAGCGGATATTGTACGTTGTCCACAATAATCGTAAAAGATTGTGTCCTCCCCCCTTGGCGAAAGCGGCGGGGAAAAAACAATCGACTCGAGCGATCACGCGTCTCGAGAACGTAAGAAAGATATTGCATGTTTGTGATTCGTGAGTGCATTTAAGCGCACGATATTCCAAGATGTGTAACATAATAAATTTGTATCGTGGCACATAGTCCGATAAAAAAAAAAAGAACGAAAGGAATCTTCCCCACTGAACTTATTAGATCGTCAATTACACCGGTGTACATCTTATATTATTGGTCGAGTAATAATCGTTCCTGGTCGTCAAGCACTACGCTACGAGTGGCCGCAGAGTATCGGCCCCCGTCCGCAAAGCGAAAACGAAACAAGATTGACGCACTGAGAACACCGGATTGAGAGGCCAAACGGAATTCGGTATTCTAAAATTACCGTAAGATCTTTAAGTTACTACCACTGTAATTAAGATAAAAATTAAATTAAACGGAACAGGCGAAAAAAACCGACCCCTACCACGTGAGTCACTTTGGCTGTCACTCTCCTAAAAAAGTTTCAGCGGTGAATTAACGAAGCGCGCGACGATCACAAGTTTTCATCTTGTTTTCTGCTTTCAACTTATTTCTTTGCTAAATCAACAGCATACAATTTACAAATGTCGCCAAGTTTTCATTATAGGTAAGTAGATTATTGACGCAACGCGATCGTTGGAAGAGACGAACACAAGTCCCACACAGAAAGCATGCACGCAAGATATTAGAGATAATATGAAATAATGCAGACATTTACGAATTTATTTATCACGTCATTGAAATACTGTACATCGAGTGTTACTATCGTTTGTCGTAATTGCCTGAATACAGACAGATGAATTACAAATAAGCGCGCGCTAGACATCTATAATTTATTATGATCTATAAATACTAATTAAACACCGTTATACACTGGAAGTTCAATGCGCAAATAGTGATAATAGATTTATATCGTCATCATTTGTTCACGTACAGCCTAGCCCTTTTGTATTACCGGATGAGCGTGGATGAGGATTAACGTGAGAGATAGCATAAAGTTTTATAAAAAAAAATGTATAAACGGTAGTTTATGCATTACCTAGTGTACCTATAGACCGGTATGTATATTGATAACGCTTGAAAAGGAAGAGATGCGGCATGGGGATGCAAAAGGAAGTAAAAGATATGAAATAGCATATTCTCCACCACTTCTATCACTAGCAAGTACACGGTAAATCTCGCTGGTCAAGTTCATGCACACCCGCGTTAAAAGTTTCTCTTACATGAGATGGTCAGAGCACTACCGAGGCTGTAAAAAATTCGTAGTCGTAGACGAACTACCCATTCAATCGCGATGAGCATCAGGCTGCCGAATTCGGCGGAGTACACTAGAAGAATTTAGACGATTTATAATAGTAGAGCGTTTTCCAATTCGTTTCCCGAATTCGGCATAGAGATGTCGTTTCTCTCGCGAATCTCGCTGAGATTACTACTCTAGCAGATATTTCGTTGAGACGATTCATTACCGATCGTAACGTCTCTCTTTCTCTCTCTCTCTCGAAAAAAAAGAAAAAAATTACCTGCGTTTTAACATACACACATTCTTTATCAGCCGCTGGAAGATCATCTCTCGCTACTCCAATAACTCTTGCCGATAACTTCTGAGGAGAAACGATTTCTCGTTAATATAACACGCTCCGCGGGGAATAATTCCGCCGGGATAATTAGTTCTTCGGATATTAGCACAGCGATTTACCGTTACGATTGCTGATGGGACTACGACTCCGCGAGTAGCTACGACTGTAGCTTCGTCGACTGCCGCGGCCGTTGCGTTCTCTGCTGTAGCTTCGACTTCTGCTTCGCGAATAGCTGCGCTCCTTTCCGTTACGACCGCCGCCGCCACCGCCTCCTCCACCGCCGCCTCGTGATCGCCATCGATTTCTTCCACCTGTCGAAGCCGATCCAACCGATCGTTACACGATAATAAACTTCGCGCAGCCCTTGGCGCAGTCTTTCGACAACCTTGTTTCGGAGTATTATGTCATGAAACAATATATGAGAATGATACCTCTGTTTCTGCCGTAGCCGCCAGCTTTACTGTCGGCGAGCTCCAGCAGCTTCGGATTTATCACTTGATTCGCTTCCTTCAGCACCTGTATCAGATCGTTGGCCTTGTTGGCGTTGTTAGGCGTGAAGAAGGTGTACGCCGTGCCGGTCTTCTGTCGGCGGCCGGTACGTCCGATACGATGGACATAATCCTCGGAACAGGAGGGATAGTCAAAATTGATGACAAACTTGACGTCTTCAACGTCTGAAATTAAGAGTTGGCATTAGACCGGCCGGATCTTCGTAGGGTTCCAGCGTCGAGGACAGACATGGGTTAAGAAAGTAGTAGTGTGTCGCAAGGATTGTGAAACACCGCGAGGCGAGAGTATGAATGGAATATTATCGGACGGTATAATGCAGTAAATTGTAATGTTCAATACGTTTTTCTGCGAGAAGTTAACAATCCGAAATGTCACGTTGATCCTCTTTTTTTTCAATAACGATTATAAAAAAAAAAGATTGATACAAAGAATTCAATTAAAAAGCAATTTTTTGATGTGATACTATTTTATCATTTAACAATTATATATGATATTCTACACGAGAACGTGAAACAAAAACAAATCGAGAAACGATCCTGATCTTTCTCTCCTCGAATATCGCGACGGCAAATATCCTTTATTTTATTACATTCAAGAAATAAAAAATGAAAAATTCGAAAGTCTTCTTCGTTGCATTCGAAGTCTTTTCACGGGCGATCGATAACTAGAAAAAAAGACCAGAATCGTTGCATAACAAGTTCATATGATGATATAAGTTAGTACGATGAAATGCGACTGATGAATATGATGTAGTTATCACAAGGACTAGAAGGAAAAAGGATCAGAAAATGCATACAGTTTAAAATGGTAGGTTTGTGAATGTGTTACGCATTTATACATGTATATATACGTATACATATATGTAGGAAGACGGCCAGTTTAGATTAGTATTTGATAAACGTTACCCGTAATCCACAAATTCGTAATAATTATACGAGCAGGACAGATGCATGCATACATACATGTACTTATATATACGCGTACACAGATTCATGTGTATATGTGTCTGTATGTGTGTGAGTGTGTGTGTGTGTGTGTACATGTATATATGTATATGTGTCAATTAATCAAATTTGAACTATGTAATACTAAAATATTAGGCAGTGGGCGAGTGTTTCGCTAGCAACGTACGGGCAGGGCCTGGCTATTTGCGCTCGCTCCAGCTACTGCCTCCGCCACTCTGTCGCTACAGGCGCAGGGCGCAGGGCGCAGGGCGCGCTAAGAGAGGCTCTGGCATATCTGCTATCACATGCCACCGCCTCAACGGACCAACGTTGTTGGTTGTCTGATTAGCTTGAGCGTGCCAGCGCAGGGGACTCTATTCTGGCAACAACGACCTGGCCAGCCAGCCCGGATGGCGTACAGCGCAGCGCAGTAGGACTGATATCCAGTATGTAGGTAGGTAGGTAAAGTAGTAGTAGTAGTAGTAGTAGTAGATCCCGATTTGGCCCGGACTTGGCCCTTCACACGCGATTGACGGACGGACGGACGGATAGAGGCACGGCGTCGCGGCCAGCGCAGACAATGCAAACCAGTGCACCACCGAACAAAGAGCGGCGGCGGGCACCCCCGACATGCTTTGCATTACCCAGCGTGGGCCTGCGCGCAATGTGCCTCTGCAATACAAACAAAGATCCAACCGCGTTAGCTGTATGGTTACCTCCAACCATCCTCCTGTTTCAATATTGCTTTTTTTTCTTTGCCCTATTCCGCTCCTACATTTCTCTTGCTGACTTTTACAACTTACAACGCGTTAAAATTTGTAATGTCCCGTTTGTAGAAAGAGAGCTAAACTCAAATGTATGTTTTACAATCGACAGCGTTGTACATAACACATGTAACAAATAAAATGTATAAATTAAATGTATATAAATTAGGCCAAGATTAGTTCTTATATGCAACAGAACTTGGAAACATTTGGTTTTCTGTACATTCTGTACACTCTTTAAACATAAAAATATGCGAAAATAATGTCGTTAGGAGCTATATAAGATTCACTTAACTGCGTCGTAAACTCCAATTTTACATGACACAGAGTTACACCTCTAAGATCCTCACGATTTAAGAAAATGTTTGTACGTGAACTGCTTCTATCTTTCAGCTTTTTTAACGGAACATTACATTGCAATCAAGATTCGTTAAAGTTTCGGTCAGAATAGAGCATTGTAAAAAAGAGAAAAAAAATTTGATAATTTTGGGGAAAAATTAATACCGTAAATATTAACCAAGTTCGTTTTCCGTGTTGCAGGAAAAACTGACTGATAATACACGACATCGTTGCGTCATGATTAGTTGAAAAATTCGAATGACTTACCAAGTCCACGTGCGGCAACGTCTGTAGCAACAAGGATTGGTGCTTTGCCTGATCTGAAATCTACAAATTACAGATATAAGTTTATTGCGCGCACTCACACGTATCGTTAAATTTTTGCCGTAAATAAATTCTCCGCGAAGAGATATCTAGTAGCTCGTGAATACCTTGTAAAACCCAATCTCGTTCCTGTTGCGTCTTGTCGCCGTGAATGCAAACCGCCGGCCAACCGTCGCGTTTCATCTTTCTCGTTATATCATCCACTCTACGCTTCGTTTCGATAAACACTATGGTTTTGTTCTCACTTTCCGCCATTATCTCTTTCAATAGAGTACTTAATCTATAAAAATGCAATATGATAGCTTTTTCCTTGGCGATATTGATTGCTAATTATATAGCTAATAATAACTGCTAGTAATAACAAAGCAAGAACCACTCGAAAACTCTTGCATACTCACTTAGTCTCTTTCTCATACTCCTGACATACATCAATTATTTGCAATATATTATGATTTGCTGAAAGTTGCAAAGAACCGACATTGATTTGAGCGTAATCTTTAAGAAAGTCCTCGGCTAAATTTTTTACTTCCTTAGGCCACGTGGCTGACCACATTAGCGTCTGTCTGTCTGGTCTAATTTGTTCTATGATCTTTCTGATTTGCGGCTCAAATCCCATGTCCAGCATCCTGTCAGCTTCGTCTAGTACCAAGTATGTACATCTCTTCAGATTCGTCTTCCCGGATTCGAGGAAATCCAGTAATCTACCGGGTGTGGCGATGACTATCTCCACCCCGCCGTCCAGATCCCTGGCTTGAGCGCCCTTCGGCGCTCCGCCGTACAGGCAGGTGTTCCTGATGCCCGACGAATGTCCAAAGTCATCGGCCACCTGCTGAATCTGCTGGGCGAGCTCTCGCGTAGGCGCCAATACCAAAGCGATAGGCCCGTCTTTGCGACTTAATTTCGGCTGGCTGTTGATGTGAACTATCGCGGGCAGTATGTAGGACAACGTTTTCCCGGATCCTGTGGACGCAATGCCCACCATGTCCCGTCCGCTCAGTGCGATGGGCCATCCTTGCGCTTGTATCGACGTAGGTTCGCTGAAGCCTTGTCTTCTGCAACGCAACGAAACGGAGCTTAGAATCGTACAATTATAAATTGTAAAGGGTACGTCGAAGTTTACATCCTCCACATCCGTCGCTTACTTGATCTCTCTTATGACGTAGTCCGGAAAGCCTGCCTCGTCGAAGTCGAGAACAGGATTCGGGATGCTCTTGCCTCTGAGAGTGATCTCCTTCTCGGCCCGGTACTGCTCCACGATGCGCAAATCCCGATTCTGCACCGCGTGATGAGGAATGTAGAAGTCCTTCTTGAAGGGCTCCAGCCGGCTCAGGTCCCATCGCGGCTTCCGCAGATTCGCGCCCGGTTGCCCGCGACTGTTCCGACTGCTGGAGGGTCTGTCGCGTCCGCCGCTGCCCCAGCTCCTCCGATCGCGCGGTGACCTGCTCCGCGAACGAGTGCGCGACCTGCGCCGCCTGTCCCTGTCGCGACTACGGCTGTAACAAGTTGCGGTACGCCCGATCAGACATTGGAGTTTCGATTCATTGGCGAGGCAAGTCAGAGAGATATCGAGAACCAAGTCGAATCTGTGATGCCCATTTGACGCTTATTCGCGAGTCTCGTGTCTACGTAGCATATATGTGTATCGCATAAGAAATTGCAGAAATAAACAGAATGGGATTCGGTTTCGGTGACAGAAAGGCCCGAGTCTCGCAAGTGGTTTCCCCGATTCGACGCGGAACAGAGCAGGTAGCGCTCCCGACGGTGAAGTTCAATCCTCTACACGTCGTCCCCCGCGCCAATGCCAAATGGTCCTCACTGTCCGTGTCACTTACCTTCTGTAGCGGCCCATTTACACTTCCCGCGTAAAAGAGACCCCCGTTGATCTATTGTTAAATAACGCCGCTCGTGAAACAAACGGCCCGCGGTAGCTCGCATACGGGAACGCGGGGGAACGTCACGGCAACGCGCGGAGTCCGTCCAACCACCGATGATCTGCAAGTGACGCAGAGCAAAAAAAGGACGCCATTAACGCAGCAATAATGTAGACCCGCCGGTGCGCATAGTCGGCCTTACCTATACCACGTTCGTAATTAATTAAACTGTACTACAAACCGGCCGCGAGCGTGTCGATATAAAAGCCGGGAGAAATTTCCGTGGACAAATTCCCATATTCTCCGATTATAGTTTACATGTTCTCATTTCCCATATAGTATTCCCATGTAGTATATATATCCATTATTCTCTCGCATCGGAAATATTTTTCTCTATTACATAAATTAATCTCATTTGTGATCATTTTGGTCCCGTCGACTGTTTGACCCTTTTTGCCCCCCAGATCGGAAGAGCCCCCTCCTCCCCCGCTCCTCATTATTTTTGTAAATCTCTCGCTCGATTTTTATGAAACATCGATTATGGGGCTTTGACAACTTCGACGCTTATGGGAACGTGAGATACGAAAACCGGTAAATCCACAAATTTAAATTCTATCTCAAGAATCCGCGAAAATCGAGTTTCACGATAATTATAGATCACTTTCAAAATTTAAATCCAAGAGTTAAATCCAATGTCACATATGTTTTTGACAAGTGATTGGCCCATCACCGCCAAACGCGTTGCGACGTGTGCGCCAATCGCGAAGTGCGAACACTGCGAACTACGTGTGTACCGTATGGAGAACTTTGCGCTTACCGACCGTCGGCGGCTGCATTACCGAGCGTCAGTAACCCCAACGCAGTTACACGCGCCTGCGCGGATCCTAGATCAGCACATCGGCGGCGCACGCAACGCATGCATACACGAACGGTCATGGGCACCCTCACAGATATCGTAGAGCTGCGAACGAGGAAGGGATTCTCCGCTAACCAGTGAACCATTTTTCTGTCGTCAAACGGATCAAGCTTTTTGTGAGACTTGGATCGATCACAAAAAGCGGGATTCGCTTTTCGCATAGGAATATTGGCCTGACGAAGGAGCCGGCTGAACAATTTTTTTCCACGCAGCTACGTCTCCCCGAAAATCGTAAGTGCCGAAAAGGACGCGTGTTTTGTGTGTCCCCCCGGGCCGTGACTTCGGCGGGCTCGCGCCGCGAGTCACCGTGTTGCCCCCGCGTTGGTCGGCGGCGGGCGATGTGTACGTGCACGGGTTCGCACGCATACGTACGCGCGCGGCAACCGGTCGGCGACGACGGCGAGGAGATTTCCTCGATTGCCACGAGGAGATTCCCGTGCCCGCCGTTCGCCGTGCTTTGCCCGTCGCCGTGAAACGACGTCGCCGTTGCGCGCTGTGCCGCAACCGACCGACACCCCCCGACGTGTCCCCGGGGCGAGTATATCCCACGCGCGTGTATTTCCGTTACGGTCACAATCGATGGGTTTTACAACAGTCATGGCGGCCATGCCGGTCTCCCTCGCGGACTCCCGATACACACCGTCGTGCGGTCGGTCGCGTCAGCGGGGGCTCGCGGATCGCGCCGCGGTGTTCCGCGAGCGTTTGCACGCGCGGACACCGCGGTCCCGATCTCTCGCCGTTCGCCGGCTGCCCCGCACGACCGCGGATCGATGACGGTGCGTTAAATTCACCGGCCTCGCGACGGCCGGAAATCCGGAGTAGGCGCCGCGATTTCGGTATATTTATAGCGGGACGGGTTCGAGGACACGAGTTCGTAAAGGACGCACGCTAATTGCGGCCTCGCCGCGCGCCTTTCCGTTGCTCAATAAGATAAATACAGACGCAGGGACGCGTGATAAAAGCTCTGTTTCTAAATGCCCGAATGTTATCTGTACTGTATACATATATGCTCGTGCGGGGAAAATCGGTGGTAGGGGGTAGGGGGAGGAGGGAAAAAAATGTCGTTAAATTCTCGACGCTTTACGTCGCGACTCGAGCCTTGTATGTCGTCCTGTCCCCATTGACATTGGAGGAAGGTTACAGCTTCATAACACTCGTGTGATTTCCAGACCACTACAATGGAGGAAATGCATCAACCACCGCAGGTCGGGCCTAACATGATGGCTGGTGTGGGTGGCGTTCCTAATCATTCAAATAATGTCAATCGTCGTAATAGAGTTCGCGTAACATTACACGCCATGATGTTAGAGAAACTACCATTGCACGAGGCGGCACGTTTGGAAATGAAGTCGCTACCCAGCAAAACACCCGTCTCCGTTCTTCAGGAATTGCTTTCCCGTAGAGGCACAATACCCAAGTACGAGCTGGTCCAAATCGAGGGAGCTATTCACGAGCCTACGTTTCGTTACAGAGTCACCGTCACCGACGTCGTTGGTTCGTATGGTTCAGTGTACATTTGTACTCGTCGAAACACACTGTGCAGCTGATTGATAAGCGCATAACTATTCAGATGCAGATCCAATTGTTTCAGCAATGGGGACTGGCAGGTCCAAGAAAGAAGCGAAACACGCTGCTGCGAAAGCCGTGCTGGATAAATTAATTGGAGTTAATACCGAAGGCGTAGAATCTCCACTTCCAAATAGTTTACCTGAGTAAGCATATCGGCAAAAATTAATTACACTTGGCGTGAAAAAAATATATGCAGGATGAAATAATCTTGTAATTTTTGTCTTTGTTTTTACGCAGTTCACAAAATTTACAAGAATTACAGACGTATGGAGAGGAGAAAATAGTGAACAACCCAATCGGAGCCTTACAAGAAATGTGTATGTCGCGCCACTGGCCACCCCCAAAATACACGATGGAGGGTGAGGAAGGTTTGCCTCACGAGAGGCAGTTTACTATTGTTTGTTCAATCTTAAAGTATCGCGAGGTTGGCCAAGGAAAAAGTAAAAAGGTCGCGAAGAGGCATGCCGCTCATAAGATGTGGCAGGCGTTACACGATATGAATAACCAAGCTCCCAGTGTGGATGAGGATGAGGTAAGAATTTGTGCTTCCATTTTTTTAAATTATATTGGATAATGAAAATTAACTATTTTTATATATCAATGTGTATTCAATTCAATGTCTATTCGTCACTGTTTTGACATTGGAATATTTCAACCCCTTGCACTAGTAGCTTATCTTGACTGCATTGATCAGAATTATTTCGGAGCTATAGACATTAACTTTCAAAATTCAAATTAAAAAAATTAAAGAAAAAAATAGTTAAAATTTAATTTATATATAAAAATATTTAATTTATGATTAGAAGGATTAAAATCCTGCAATGATTGTCAGATATTGAATGACAAGGGTTAAAAAGCAAATAATTAATGATAATTTATTTTAAATCAAATATGCTGTATGTGTGTGCATGTGTAACATCGAGCGTATGTGTATAAACGAGTGTATGTGTGTGTATTTAGAGAAGTGGAAGTGATTTTGGCTTCATTGCCACTTTGTGTATTGTAATGAAAGCTATCTTTCCGATCTATTAAATCTATAACGGACCATTATTTATAGGCAATATCGCTAGTTTGACTGCAACTTTTGTACAGTTGCATATATTTTTTCTTGAGAGTAATATTCTGCTTGGATCATATCCACTTCATTTAAGTTTTTATATAAATGTGAAGTAGCTGTTAATAAAGCATTTGATATGTGCTTAACGAAAAACTTTACATGTATATTAATTGTCCATTATAGATTGTGCAAAGAAACGCAAACGTGAGCGCCCGTTATGCCGATCTGAAAGGTAGCAAAATTTCGACACTGACAACAATACATAGTATCCAAGTTTCGAAATTTCACAAGAGTCTCAAGTCGTCCACAGGTGTTAAGCTTTTTCAACTGCAGGTTTGTATCAAAGTTTGATGAAGTGAATAGAAGAACAAGTAATTGTTCTCTTGTATTTGGTTATCAAGTCAAAAACTATTTGTTTGTCTCTATGATATCGACGTAAATCGATTGCGTGCAAGTTATTCTAAATTTTGTTGCAGAATACTTGTTTCAACGATGGGGATGTAAATTTGGTACAATTTTTACAAGAAATTGCGTCGGAGCAGCAGTTTGAAGTAACCTATGTTGATATTGAAGAGAAATCTATCAGTGGTAAGTTGATCAGTGATACATATATAACGTAAAACAGATTTTATTTTTTAGAATAAATTTCCGTACATGACAAAATTACATATTTTTAGAAATTTTTTTTAGAATAAATATCCGTGTATAGAATAAAATTATTTATTTTTTTCATTATGTTACTTATCCAGTAAGTACAATATTAACAGGTACATCATCCTCGTACATAAAATAAAATTACATATTTTTTAGAAATTCTTTAGAATGAATATCCGTGCACACACATAGAATAAAATTACATATTTTTTCGTTATGTCACTTATCCAGTAAGTACAATATTGACAGGTACATCATCCTCATTAGTGGGAATGTCTTCTTGTATTTGTTCCTTGAATCCTACTGCAATTAGATATGGCTTTATCCCTTTTTGAAAACATCTTTTTAAGTACTTGTCATAGTAACCCATTCCATGTCCCAAACGTTTTCCTAGTCGATAATAAAAATGAAACGATTACATGCAGGATTACAAAGTGTGTAATATTTATTGAGCAAAACTCACCATTCATCGTGAAAGCAACACCTGGTAAAATTACTAAATCTAATCCATCTATAAAAGAGAATTAACATAGTTAAAATTACTTAACTGTATTAATGTAATAAATACAAAAAAAAATTAATACAATTAATTTTGCAAAATATAATATTATAATATTTATCATTATAAATAAAATGTATCATTCTTTTTTTTTATTTTAATTTGTTTTGGTGGAGGTCACCTGTTTCTAATGCGTTTTCACGACATTCGGTAGTGCTTGGTTGTTTAATGTTCCATTTTGTTAGTGGCAGTGTCTCGTAATCCTCTATTGATCTTAGTTTTACCATTTCCATAGTTTTTCCACGATATTGTGGTACAAATGCCTCCTTTCCTGTATCAAATATGTGCTTCAGAATGGACAGAGTGTCGATTTCATCTTCAGTACTCAAATACAAAGAAATTCTCTTGCTGTCTTGGTATTGCTTCAACAGGCATAGCTATCAATAATTAAATAATTGCGATGTTAAATAATATTGCAAATATAATTGTTTTTGTGTAATTCACTCTATCAGAACATAACCTCTTCAATGTACCTCCGGCTTTTGGATATTATTGAATTGTTTATCTTTCTCAGACTCACCTTTTCAAACACGTTTGCAGACTGTTTCTTTCTTTCTTCTAGACTAATATTTTTAAGAATGTCCTTGATTTCTTTTCTCAAAACACGTTTAGCTGATGTTAAAGCTGCCATATTGCAGATTGTGCTGTTTCTTATGGATTTACTCCTACCACTGGTTGTAAATAGCGTTTTGCGTCTGAAGTATATCAGTGTTTTTACATAAATCATGTACCAAGCATAATTTCATCCGAGTTCACCGATATCTACATATACATGATATCTATGACCTTTTAGTATCACATGTCATCATGAATCATGACGCATATTTTTATCAAAATTGCCCAATTAACATGTACATGAAAAAATAAAAATTACTTCTAAGCAATACCACAGTTGTATTCTAAGCGTCATGTCTTTCTGTCTTCCAGGTAAATTCCAGTGCCTTGTGCAACTGTCTACCCTGCCAGTAGCAGTTTGCTATGGTTGCGGTGCGACTAGTAAAGATGCTCAAGCCAGTGCTGCTCAAAATGCTCTGGAATATCTGAAAATCATGACCAAGAAGTGAGCCAGCGCTTTGCTCCTGCCAGCTGTCACCATCACCTGCAAGCCCCACAATCTGGCATCTAACAATCAGAACAATAATACGGACATCAAAGTATTACCGGCCAACAATCAGATTTCCGACAAAGGAAAAGGCGGACAGAACCACATGGGAAGTAAGAATAGAACGTCCAAGTCTGTCAAGGTAACGAACAACAAAGATGCTACGTTGCACACCATCGCGTCGTCCGGGAGCTCGATAGCCGCTGGCAAAATTAACTCGTCGATGAAGAAGCACGACGGTAATAACGATACTCTGAAGTCCTCGAGCGAATCGCACAACACGACGAAGAGCGCATCGATCGTCACCGCGAAACAATCCAGCAGTTCCACATTTAGTAGCGTACGGCCTGTCAGTACCTGTATAAGCAGCACCGCGCACGAGAACCCGATGAAAAATCCAAAGGATTACACCGCCCCGAAGAAATTTCCAAACGAAGCGGATTCAGGCGTCAAGAGCTATCCAATCCAATCGGATTACAAGGAACCGATGTCTGTGAACAGTCCGGATTACAAGAACACCGCTGGCATCGCTGGCACGATGGCCGCTAATCTGCCGTTAAGGTTCGCGGCGCAGCAGTCATCCGCGACGCCGATCATACACAGGGAGACCTACACGCCGTCCAGCACGTACAGTCCGCAGGCTGGTTCCTGTCAGAGGAACGACAATAGCGCGTTCGCGATTGCGCGCAAGGCGCTGGAACAGCAGCAGAGCTCGATGCCGAAGATGGCACCGATCAACTTTCCGCCGCTGCGCGCCCCGCAGAGCATCGTTAACGTGCGGCATCCGCTGTTGACGGATGCGCGTATCAAGCACGGTAACGAGATCGGCGGCGGCATCGGTGGCGGTGGCGGCAGCGTCGGCATCGGCGGCGGCGGCAAGTCCAAGCTCAACGTCATGAGCTCGCTGCAGAGCGGCGGCATGAAGGATCTGGGCGATCACACCGGCCGTTCGCAGACCGCGTTCCACGGATACGGCACCACGCCGCTCGCCGCCGGCATACCGAGCGTGCAGAATCTGAGCAGCGCGGTGACGGCCAACATCCCGACGTACCCGAGGCCGGAGCCCTTCCCGCAACCGACGGTCGCGAACGTGCTCTTCTCCGAGACCGCCGCGCAGTTCCCGCAGTCGCCGCCGTTCAGCACCACGCAGATCGGCCAGCTGAACCAGTATCAGACCTACGATCCGGGCAGCTACCCCACCACGCCGGTCAACGTCAATCCGGTGATACCGCAGTTCACCGCGGAGAGCTCGATTCCGTATCCGCAGTACGAGAATCCGCCGCAGTTCGTGCAGCCGAGCCACTACCCGACCGCGGACATGACCAGCGGTCAGTATCAGTATCAGGCGGCGGCAGCGGCGGCGAGCGTAGGTCCGATACAGGACTCGTCTATATTCATACAGAGTCTTCAGAGCACAATCGCGGTGACCGATCAGTACGCCACGCCGAATTACGCTAGGACTGTCAGGACGGAGCTGATAACACGGTTGAGGAGACCACCGCGGTTCAACAAGTAAAACTGTCAGACGTTTATTTACGAAAAAAAATTTTTTTTTTGATACACTGAAACTTGGGAACAAATGGTCGCACTTCCTCATATTATTATACGATAAACGATCGTGGATGCTGGATAGAAATTTGTAAGATAGGGCTCGTCTCCGTTTATCCATTCTTTAACGTAGAAAAGTTTATCTGTCGTACCCGAGAGACGAGTTTGATGCGTCCAAGTCGCCGATTTATTTGTCGTTGTGTCGAGCGTTTCGCATAATATTACTCGCGTGTACGCGAAGTTTGTCAGATTACCTTAACTCGCATTAATCGCAAAGGATATGGTAAAAGTTATTTCAATTTATGATCCAGTTTGAAATAAATTTTAGCCAATCTGAATGTCAGAGACCACGATCGGGCGCGATCGTCCGAGAGCGGGCAGACGATACTTTGGCAAATTTGCGCAGGCACGATGTGCGCGCGACCGGCATTTCTCTCGTTGGCGCGCGCACGTACAATCTAAAAGAAAAAAAAAAAGGATGCATTCTATTGCACAAGCGAGGGGAAAGCAGAACGAATCTTGGCTTGTTTCCGCCATAACGAGTGACACGGCAGGGCATAGGTGTGAGTTGAGCTCAACTGTAATTTTACGATGTAATGTATTCTGAATAGCGTGCATCCGCAGGACTGGGCGAGGCGATATGCACGGAAACACGCTATTTACGAAGTTGTACCTAAATCGCAAACCGCTGTGCGCGATCAGGACGGTGGAGTCCCCGTTTTGATTGAATTAGTTTTTTTTTTTCCCGAGCGCAACGCGCACGAGTCGCGCGCGAAAAAGAGGGGCAGGAGTATTTCGGGCGCGGAGAAACGCATCGGCGCTTCGAACAGAGAGAGAGAAAAAAATGATGAAAAGAAGAAAGAGAACAGAGAAAGGAATATTGCCCCGTGATATATAGTGGCGAGGGTAGAATTCTTCTCTCTCTTTTCGATTATCGTGTAAGTTCTAGTTTTAATGAATGATATTCTACAAGCTATACTTTGCATAGAATTAGTGGAAGTTTTCCAATACTTACATAAAAATACTTAGCTTACCGCTATGTTTTTAATGTGCTTCACTATTTGTATATGGGGTGGTGGTGTAATGATGCCTGAGATGAGTGCGCGTAAGAGAGAGATTACATGAGGTAGGGGTGAGGGGGATGAGAAAAAGAAAAGAATCGGTAAGCGTCAGCAGAGATCGTGTAGCGATTTTTATTATCACGTGTCAGAGCGGCGCGTATCGTTCGAATTTTGCTCCCATTTACCGCGAAACATTACATCTCCACTAAGCGTATGCACAGTGCAAAAAGAGATAAAAAAAAGACAAAAAAAGAGAAGAAGAAGTAGCTTTTGCGCGGCGATCCGAGTGTAGCTAAATAACGCGTGATCGCGGATATAAGGAAATATAATCTTTCAGTGGTGTATGTTTTTTCCTTTAGTATAGGTAGCTCATAAACTCATAAGCATCACATATTAATACGCGTGTAAGGATTAATAATCGTTAAGGATTCCTCATTAAAGTACGCATGTCGAGTCTAAGGTGTAAGGTCGAGCGATGTGTAATCGAATTTCGGATTTGCCTGCGTACCAATTGACGTGTCATCACCGGATGAGACTTTATACTAAATGAAAAAGAGTAACATCGCGAGAATACACACGAGTAGAAGAGCCAACACACGCGAGGCGCGTCAGGGCAGCGGGACGGCTCGATCGTTGAGAGCCGATGCTCCGATCCAGTCGTCAGCTGTTGCATTTCACGGATCGTGACATATCCCTTTTGGTCCCGTCGAATAAGTAGAAACCGCGGGGATCCCTGCCGGAGGGGCCGCGATCACCCGTCGCGTTTCTAGATTCGTTTGGACTTCAACTTCTAAATTCATTTATAAAATTCATTTCGATCCTAATTTCCAATTCACCGTGTCTCCTTACGTATCGTGTCCCGCAAGCGGGGTGAGTGAGGGATACGTTGAACGGAATTAGCCAGTAGACAGGCTGTAGATCGATCTCCGAAGGAACGGTTTACGGCGAATACATTTGGTGTAGCACCAACGAGTGGCATAATCCTTAATTTTCTTACGATCGGAGATTTATTTTCAGATATTATTTTTTTTGTAAAATTACATATATATCTGCGTGTGCATACGCCATTTTGAGTTGCGATGGTTCAGGAATTTCACGGTAAATCACCGTTGTAATCTGTAAGTAATATTCTTTTGTATATAGTGCTAGGTAAAAGTGGCACAGTAGCGAAAGAGAAAGAAAGAATGTGTGTGTGTGTGTGTGTGTGTGTATATGTGTGTGAAAGGGAGAGAAAGGGAAAGACATGTTAGCATTAGAAGCGTTAGGGCCAAGAGCAACGCCAATTAATACTGATTGCGATTGTACATATTTTCTTTTCTAGGAATACGCAGGGAGAGAACGTCTAATCTTAGAAATTTCGAATCAACATACACGAATCGTGAAATTGTAAAGTATCCTTTGGAATATCTCTCAGGATCTCCTTGAATCAGCCATGGATTGATCGGTACTAATTGACGTTGCCAACCCGATATCGAACTTTAGCTTGCCGGCGGAAGATCGGCGGGGGAAAAGCAGGACGAAATTACGGAAGCAAGGTCGTGTATGCACACCTCCTCCTCAAGGGCGATGTCGCGTCGGCGATTTTCGATTTTGGTGGCGCGCGTTTCTGCAATGCCTTGACGTATATGTGCGTTATATGCGTATAACAGTACAAAATTCGCGAGAACGGAAAGGATGATTTCTGTGCACAAGGTCAAGGGATCGGGTGAAACGCGTGTCATCGGGCGACAAGGAGGCAAGGGTGAGAGGAGAGAATGTGGGGAGAATACCGGTCCGAGCGAGCCGACAACACGAGGGGAGGAATCGTCCGGCGTGATTTCAGTGATTGCGAAAAAGAGAGTGCGTGTTTCACATAACGTATATCTTTGGAAAATAGGCATTACTTACATGCAAAGTATAGAATGTGTATGTGCGTATAGACATACATTCGCTAGAGCGAGACGACGGAACATGCGGTTTCGCTCGTCTCCCTTTACTTTCCGCGAACGGAAGAGAGATGGTCCGTGCCATCGGCTGCCGATCCCGAATGCCTCGGGGCCGGAATCGCGGCCGCGGCATATCCCGGCGAGATGCGCGGCGACGGCGGCGGCGGCGTCGTCGTCGTGGTTTTTCGGTTCCGAGGTGTTATTTCGATTTATTCTCGAGATTTTCGCGAGTCGAAGCCAATTCCGTTTCGAGAAACCGAACGATACGACTTAATAAACTTAATTGCCCCCGACATTGAAAGGCTTCAGTCGATGTCTTTGTATTTCCTCCCCCCCTTTTTTAAAAATGGAGTTTCTCTTCCGATATCATTTTCCGCGTGATAACTCTTGCGATTCGTTTGTTCAGATTTCCCTAAGGGCTGCCTCGCTCAACAGGAGGTATCCGAGGCAGAGATTACCTTTCCGAAATTTGCGAGCGACTTCACGACGCGGGAATTAAAGCTGTGCGTTGAGAGATACATGTGTTTTTTATAGGGTACAATATCGGTTCTCTCTAAGATGATTTAGAGAAAGTCCATATTTTTCGAAACAAAAACTGAAAAGGTTTTGCATGGAATTAATCTTGACGCGCACATTCCACTTTTTATGCAGCGTAAATCGGTGCGTTATATTATAAGGAGAAACGGGTGCGAGAGAGATGGAGAGAAAGATGGACGATATATTTCACTTCGTTGGAATTCGCAGTGAGTGAATGAACGCAGGGAGTGATGAAAGTCTTCGCGGAGCTTTCCTAAACGATCTCGCGAAATCGAACCGAAATTTTTAACGTTTCGAATCAATCAGCACGCTGTTAAAAAATTAAAAAATTAATTGTATTTGTTTTCAGCGGTGCTGTTCTGTCCTCATTTAACGAATCGCTGGGTGACACTCGCGATAATCTAATTATCGTCAAAACTTGGCGCCTTTAACGGAGCGAGGATACGAGTGGAGAAAAGCGGATATGTAAAAGGGCCTTATCGTGGATCAAACTGCAGATTCTTAATCTTCCATTCGATTCTTTCTCTCATTCCTGGTTGGTCCAAGAAGATCACCTCCCCATTCCGAATGGTTCAAAAAGTCCGTCATCAGTTTTTTTTCTTGATAATTTTTCTTTTTTTCCGATTTTAATTTAGTTAATGCATCCATATATATCGTGTTCTCCCTTTACACTAACTGAGCGTTTGCTTCTCGTCTTTTGTGAAATAATTTATGATTGTTAAAATTTGGATGCGAGAGCTTCGAAGAAACTAGTTTTTAATTTATTTAATAACGGAAAGGAATAAAAAAAAGGAAAAGATTATCGAAGAAAGGAAATGGAAATAGACAAATAGACGGGCCTTCGGGATCATTTTAGGAATGGAAGGATGGGGTCTCTGTGGCTCAATTTAAGGATAGAAAAATGGGATCGCTATGGATATGCATTTCCTGAGTCACGAACGAATTTACCTGTTTCAATATTGCATAATTAGTAAAAAATATAAATATATATATGAAAAGATTTGATTCGCATTTTTGAAACGCATTGCGTTCCTGTCACGAAGCGCCTTCGTGACTTGTCCTCAAGATCGTTTTCACCTTTCATCGCATTCTACATTCTTTCACCTCTTTTCTTATATAGAGCTTTAAATTATTACGTTAAATAATTTCGATTCCAAGTCCACGATAGATCTTTCACTGTCTGCTTTTCTTTCCTCGTATCCGCCGTTATACAAGGGACGTATTAGATGGAGAGGAAACTGGGAGAATGAAATGGACGAATGTGGACGTCTACCCCACACACATGCGGGGTTGGCAGGGTCGTGGGTCATTTAGGGACGAGAGAGGGAACCGACCAGTTTTCGAGTCGGTCCTCGACAGACTTCTCGTTTCTCCTTTCTCGTTCGTATCTGCCACGGTATGAGGGAACCTTCTGAAACGCTTGCGTTCATCCGTATCCGGCCCTAAACCGAGCGCGCAATTCTGTGTGTGCTTTTCAAGCGAGATAAATACATCTTAAATATAAGTTGCGATTGATTTTCACCTCGATTTTACTATTTGAGATTGTCTAATTGTATTCAACTCTTCTGATTCAAGATTTAGCGAGTCGATAAAAATTTTTGTTCGGTTATTAACTTATTACGCTTGAAATGTAAGAGAATGTTACATATTTTTATATTTAACGAGCAACGTTCCGATTTGTTCGATAAAAATTCACATTAGATTATTATATTTCAAGTAATATATAAAAGAATGTTGTATATTTTTGTATTTGATAAAGAGCAGCTCTTTTTTTTTGTTCATTTTCTAAGTCGCGAGTTCACGCTCCTGAATTTCTTTTTGCTCTGACGGATGTACTCGATTGCGATTCATTAGGTTCGCATTATAATCTTTAAATTCTACTATGATTTTTCGTAAAAATTGGACGAACGAAATTTCACTGCTAGTGGCATTTAAGGATTACAGAAAACGGTTGCGCGTGATCGGTCCGGTCTCGCGGGGAAAAGGAACAAGAAGAACGATGCGTAGCGAAGTTTTGTTTCTCTACAAGAGAGACCGGACGATCTTGCGCAATAATTTAAGTCTTTATATACATAAAAAAAGCAAAAATTGGGTGAAAAAAAGTAGAGCGTGTATAGATAGAAAATTAAAACGATCTTCGACGTAAATAAAAATGCGTCTCGGACGTGCAGCGCGAGTCAGTTTGCTTTCGGATAGATCTCAAACTATTCTATACAATTGTACAAACGAGCAGTCTACTCTTACCGAGGATTCTACACATCGGATTTATATAATATAGAAAAAAAGGGGGACACACACCAGAGAGAGAGAGAGAGAGAGAGGGAGAGAGAGAGACAGAGAGAAAGGAGGAATAAGCAATCGAATCCTGCGCGGCGTGATGAGTCGCGTGATGAATCCGCCAAATCTTTATATATATTTATAAGCCATTCGCTTTCTTTATATGGACTGATCATATTATATTAAATAGCATATTCGGTTGGTGACCTCTCGCTGCGCGCGTAAAAAATTTCATGGGTGACTCGCAATGAATCACGCGAATTAAAATTGATCCTTAATGGATAGGGACGAAGAGTCACCATGCAAATGTGAAAAAGATTATATTTGTTAATATTTGGACGCAGTCATTGTAAAAAAAATGAAATTATAACACAATAAGCATGATTAGAAAGCGGGAAATTTCATTAGCAGTTGCAACAGACTTTGTAACGATGTCATTTAATGGTCAATCGTAACAACTCGAATCTTTTTCTTTCTTTTATTTTTTTAGATAGGGAAACTTTCTTCTTTATTCCGGAAATCACACATGTCTTACAGATTTTGTAAGACATGTATAAGAAATTGTTCGAGTCGATAAAAAGCGAATTTTTGTATACAATTTAATCCTTTTTCTTTATTTTTATTTTTTTCTTTCTCTTTCCCTTTTAGTCGAGTTGTTCTACTTTCGTTATTTCAAGTTAAATTATCCTTTTTGCGAGAGCGAGCGGAGTTATTGTGACGAACGTCATAATAACGAGATAGCACACATAACACGGACATGGCATACAGATAACGACTTGAAACCACGTAACGGAGCCCTATCTGTGTATAACGCGTAGGGTATCGATATCTTATAATCAGGCAAAAGGTTGTTCTATGTATGATTGTGCGTGTAACATTGTTAATAAACATACGATGCTTATGAAGGCTCCCTTCTTTCCATTCATTTTGCTTCATGCTACCGCAATCCGTTTTGATCAACCGTGCTTGATTAAAATCATGTTCTTAAAAAGAAAAAGACCATGAGAAAAAAAATATATATATGCACAGATAATTCCGATTTATTTTCTAATTTTTCTTTTCATAATAGACAGTTACGGAAGCAATGCTTCAAATATCGAAAAGACTATCTGTCTGCTTGTTATATACGTGTATAATACAAATAACTCGTGACATATTCTACATTTAAATAACATCTAATCGCGATTACTCCACAACTGAAAATATTGCAAAGTATCTTGTAAAAAAAAATACAAGCGCTACGAATATTGTGTACAAGTGGCAGCGCTTCATTTGCCGATACAAAAGTTTTTGAATATAATGTCTAGTATATCATTGGTGCTAACGTGCCCCGTTATCCTTCCGAGTTCTCGCATCGCCTTGTGAATTTCCTCCGCCGCTATGGCCACGTCATACCGCTCGTTGGCGCACAATTCGAAGTAGTTCTGCAGATACCTCAAGCACTGCGCCAAGTGATTTCTGTGCCTCGCCTGACTGATGGTCGGACTCTCCGCGGATGGATCGCCGCATCTGAACAAAAGATCATCGGTAATGTAATTGCAATTAAGCATAATTAGCAAGTATCAATTGTATCGTATGTACATGTTACTGAAGCGGTCTGTCAGCGATCGCAGCAAGTCCTGGAAACCGTCCTCCGTTCTGCAAGATACCAGAACTCCTTCAGCATCGCCGAGGCGCTGTTTTTCTTCCTCCGTCAGTAAGTCTTTTTTATTCGCTATCACGATGAAACGTTCTCTCCCGATTTTCACCAGTAACTCTTGTATCCCCAGTGACGACAGGTATTCGCGCATGTAGTCTTCGTACGTCACGCCGCTGGTTGCGCACTTCCGCGCGTCCACCACGACGATCACGAAGTCGGCGTTCTCCGCGTGGCTTCTCGCTCGACGGACGCCCTCGGCTTCGACGATGTCCCCGGTGTCCTCCGTGATGCCGGCGGTGTCGGCTATCAGCACGGGGTAGCCCGAGATGTTGGCGGTCAGCTCGATGACGTCCCTCGTGGTGCCGGCGATGGGCGTGACGATGGCGGCATTTCGCTGCACCAGGTGATTCAGCAGGCTGCTCTTGCCCACGTTGGGCTCGCCGACGATCACGGTCCTCACCCCGTTGCGCAGGATCTCGCCCCGCCTGCCGTCGGCCAGGTGCTGCTCCAATTCCCGCATCAGCTGTCGGAGAGCGTGGTGCGCGTTCTGCACCACGTCGCTCTCGATGTTTTCCTCCTCGCCGAAGTCGATGTACGCCTCGATACTCGCCACGGACTCCGAGAGTACCTTTCGCCAGCTGTCGTACAGCTTGCGCAGGATACCGTCGGCCTGCAGCAGCGCCTGCTTCCTCTGGCACTCGGTCTCGGCCTCTATCAGATCGGCCAGGCCCTCCACTTCCGTCAGGTCGAGTTTATTGTTGTAGAAGGCGCGTCTGGTAAACTCGCCCGGTTGCGCCGGCTGCACGTGCAGCCTCGAGAGGGCTTGCATCAGCTTCGTCAGGATCGCCGGTCCACCGTGCACGTGAAACTCCACGGAATCCTCGCCAGTGAACGAATGCGGACCTGGGACAACAATTGCTTTAATCAGGCGTGATTTTCGGAATATCTCTGATAGACGTTCCTCGTTTTTTTCGTCGCCTCGTTTCCAGCTTTAGAACTTGCGTCCTCGGGTAAATATTTACATATCAATTTTCTCTAAGCAGAAGCTGTTTTTGTATAAAAGTATAATCTATATGATTTAAATTTATAAGCAAAGATGAGATCTTGCAAGTCGCGTCGAGCGTGTTACGGGGGTGAAAACTGCGCGCACCGGGAAACCACAAGCAGAGCCCATTGTCGATGATTTCCCTCGTTTCTGGATCATGTATCTTTCGCAAAAAAGCCCTCCTCGGTTCCAGCTTGGATATGTTTGTCATCTTTTTCAACGCGTCCAGAGATCGGCTTCCTGATACTCTCACCACTGCCACGCCGCATTTTCCATGACCTTAAAACAATATTCTTGTTCTTGTATCTGTGACACTTCACGTACCTAAATTTACATTAATGTTATAATTATTTATTTATACGCCAAGAAAAAAAAAATAGATAATGCGAAATAGCAAAAAACGATTTCGCACATCAACGCCGAGCACCGCACGTGATCGATGTCTCAGCGTGACATTGTTTTGCGAAACGTGCAAAGATCGAAAAAAAAAAAAGAATATTAATTCAAGTACGCGTCGTCAATCAAACGAATTAATTTGAAATGCAGATAATTCCATTGAATTGTAAATTCCGTCGTTTGTTTCCGAGAACAAATAAAGTAAAACAAGAATCATTTTCATATTTTTTTCGATCTTTGGAAGTGACTTTGATCAAACTTCGATTAACTTAATCCGTAGTTAATTTATCAAGTAACACTCATATATATACTGCTTTGTAACGCGAATGGAATTACGAAATTTCCGTTTACAAAAAGAAAATTAAATCAATGAATTATATAGTTAGAAATTTTGCGATTTACCGCCGGTTGAATCGATCGTCGATCAAGTTAATCGAATCTCGGTCAAACACACGTGGAGGAACGTCGACGCGATGCGAAGCGAAGCGGAGGGAGGGGAGAAGACACGCGACCCGCCAGCGAGTTTTCTTAACCTGGACGGGAAACTTATATGATAAATTATTCGTGGGAAAATATAATCGGCGTGCCAAAGCCCTCCCTGCCGCCGATTATTTTCCGAGCAAAGTACGAGCGTGGAACAACCAGAGGACAGGGCGCAGATGGTCGTGCCCCTGCGGTCGCTCGTGGAACAGCTGACGGCAGTAACGTGGTAGCGCGACGTCCCGCGCGATGCGACGACCCACGCGTTTCGAGAGAATTCACGGACGAGGGGACACGCACGGAGGAGCGTCGGAGATGCCCGGGACAACAACAGGCGCATAGCGAGTGCACCGGAGTCACAGTGTCCGCGAGGCCGAGCGTCGGCGGGACGATGAGCGAGTGAGACGAGCGGACGGCGAAGAGACGACGTTGGCAATCGCGGGATTCACGCGGTGAGACTGCCGGAAACGACGAACGCTGTGCTGCGCGGTAGACGAGCAGACGTCTCGATTGGAAGTAGCTGGAATTGTTGGAAACCCGACTGGGAATCAGTAGTTTCGCACGCAATTCTTTCGAATCTGCAAAATTCCGATCGACCGATCAGCAGCAACGATCGCCATTTTCACGTCGCGCTGCAACGGCACGTTTTATAAGAGTACGGATTTACGTGGGTGTAATCGTTATTTTTGAAGTGATTCGCATTCTCTGATCAGGACGTTGTTCCAGGTGACACGAGACGTTCATCGCGCAATGGCGGATCTCGAGGCGAAGCTGACGGCGAGCAAGGCGGTGCTGGACAGATGCAGCAACTGGATGGAGGCGCAGAAGGATCGCACGTACGAGCAGGAGACCCTCAAGCGTAAGCTCAAGGAGTTCGAGTTCGACGATTGGTACAACACGGACTCGGAATTCGACTCCGTCTCGGAGTGCGGCGGGAAGAAGCGCAAGGTGGGAACGCAGCTGAAGGACGAGAGGCTGGATTTGGCGTGCGAGTGGAAGGAGTGCACGTATCGCAGCGGTCACCTGGAGCAATTTCTGAGGCACGTCTCGAGTCACATATCGAACGTGGAGATAAGCGTGAGGGAGAACGACAACGAGGTCTACGTGTGCCTGTGGAAGGACTGTCCGTACGAGAGCGATGCGTGCGACATGATAATACGGCATATCAATTATCACGCCTATCACACCAAGCTGAAGTGCATCGGGTCCAACGTTCGTGGAAGAACCAAGTTACCCGTGAGTAGCGATATTGATCGTCAACTGGAACGAATACTAGAGAATACTAGAGCTTAAAGATTTATATTATCCTTCTTTCTTTCTTTTTTTTTGTTACAGAAATGTCGCAGAGATCTAGAATGGAAGAACATCATAGATTCCCCACCTCCGCACTTGTGCAGGTGGGAGGAGTGCTTGAAACAGTTCACGAATTATCAAATGTACTTGTATCACGTTACCGTACACATGATGAATTGCCCGCGCGGCAACCGGGTCAAAGACGGAGTCGAATGCAAGTGGACAGGGTGCAACGGCAAATATTCCAGCCTGCACAAGCTCCGAGATCACATGAGGTGCCACACCAAAGAGAAGATAGTCGCGTGCCCGGACTGCGGCATCACGTTCGCCTCCAAGACGAAATTCCACACCCACTGCCAGCGACAAATTCCCTTGGAAGGTAATGAATTCATTGATACGATTTTGTATCTATTTTTTTTCACGGTTCATTTTTTATAAATGCGTCATGAATTTACAGTGCAGGGATTCCGTTGTTCGCACTGCAACAAGTTCTACCCGACCGAGGGGATCTTGCGCGATCACATGCGGTCCCACGTGTTCAATTACAAATGCACCCTATGTGACATGAGCTGCGAATCGCCGGCGAGCTTGGCGAAGCACGTCAGGTACCGTCACATGACGGCGAGAACGTTTCCGTGTCAGTTGTGCTCGCACGCCGCCAAGTCGCAACAGGATCTCGATTCTCACATGACCGTCCACACTAGCGGACCGAATTTCTCTTGCCACTTCGAGGGATGTCATTTTACGTGCAAGGGAGCTTACGCTTTAGACAGGTAATCGGATAAAGATAGAAAGATCTTCGATGTAAACTGACTCAGTCTTTATTTGACGATCGTTAAATATGTTACAGGCACGTAGAACGAGTACATAGTCTAGCGGTGCGATGGTACTGTTGCCACGAGTGCCCGATCAAGTACCGAAAGAGTTACAGGCTGACGAAACACCTTATAGAGGCCCATCGATTGCAACTGCCAAGCGGACACAAACGCTTCCATTACACGCAAGACGAAGACGGGTGTTACAGGCTCCAGATGGTGCGATACGAGGCCGTGGACGAAGAAAACGTGTCGCCCATCGCGGAAGAGGCGCATTTACCAGAAAGAAAGTATAAAATAGAGCTAAATCAAACTGCCTCGTCGATGGAGTTAAAGGTGAGCCGCCGCCACAATGCAATTTAAGTTCATTATTTAAAATTTGTTATGCTATTAAAAATCGTAACGTTTGTTCCAGATTGTCGAGAATAATACGGAAGACAAAGTGGAAGAGGCTGTACAGGAGCCACCGGAGGAAACGGCAGAGAATGACGTTGCCAAGTCTGTACCTATTATATCTAATATTTTAATATCTATCGACGAGGTAGACGAGAAAGGCAATATAATAAACCAGGAGATCGTTGAGATACAAGAAACGAAAGAGCTACCGCCATCGGAAGAACTACTGCTAATTTTAACATAAGCTTGATGTACATATTTTTTTTTTTTTTTTTTAGAAAGATACTCTTGTGATAATTGTGCACGTTTTTTTGTATCATTACATTTTACTACTGCGATTTTACGTTATGTAGACTGAAGGTATACGCGTTTAATACTCCGATTACTTTGGAAAAATTTACTTTTATTTGCCTTTTATTAGCTAACAAATTCTCAGAATATTAATTTTCAGAAATTGATGGTGCAAGAACTTTGTATAGAAGTATGTCATGTAACAAATTAAACATTTATTTTTACAAGCTTTTGTCGGAATAATTTTATCTTTGCTATGTTCACTTTTAGCTCACAGAGCATTTACAATGGAAAATTGAGATATCCAGGACGATTCTCTACAACACACTGCAAAACAAAATCGTGTTGCTACCGCGATACTTTTATAAAAATAATAAATTACCTGATGCTCTCTCGTAACGTTACAATTAGGAAGGGTTCTATATAGAAAAAGTGTAATTATCTTCTTTTGAATCCATACTTCTTTCTCTCGTAGAAGAGATCTGTCTTTGAGCTTCCCAAGTTTACTATCTTGGGACAGCCGTCTCTCTGAAAGAAAAACAAAGCAGTTTTAGGACGTTCAACTTCTAATAAGGGTGTATTCCATTTAACGCTCGCAAAGCTGTTGGAGTCATTTCATCCTTGTTATTTATCGAATGTTGTAAACAAGGACAAGTAACGCTCGCGAGCGTTAAGTGGAACGCAGCCTACGAATTTGTACAGACTTGTAGGCAGAATCAGCGGTATACTTACGTCTTTTTCCTGTATCGTGCACTCTTTACAGTAATACGCGTCCGACACGCCGGGACCGCCGCATATCACGCAACGTCCCTGGTAGGAGCCGTAATTGCACTCGTCGCATATTCTGACCAGGGTGCACGGCCTCACGTAGGAGTCGCAGATGACGCATTTGCCGTCGCATTTTTCGCACAGCCGACCGATGGCTGAAAAGAGAATGTAATTGTAAGTAAAGATCGTTTCTGACAGAACTGGGACTAAACTTAACCTCTCGACTCACCGACTCCCGGTTGCTTGCGACAGAAGATCAGATCCGGGTGATGCTTGGCCATGTTCGCGTTTGAAACGACTGGAGATACTTGGGTTAACGACGTCTAAACGCCTCGCCTAACGATATTCCGGCCTCGTCACTCAACTTTTCCTTTCTCTCGATTTGTTGTCATTCCAAAGTGTCCGAAAGACCGGTGGCGTTTCGGAGCTGGGTGCAGGGACGCAGTATAGTGTAGCTCCAGCGCGCGAGAGACGCACGTGACTCCTGTCCCGCGATTGGCTGTCGAATAGGACAACTTTTGCGACAGCCAATCGCGACGTCTATCCGTAAAATGACTGATCTTCTCTGTCACACTTCTGCCTATTTAAATTTACGTCTATGGCTGTCCTCTGCCATCTCCTCGTGCCCTCGTCTGTTTGAGGTTGTGTCTCGTGTCACCTGAGGACAGTTTTGACGCTGACGGTAATACGGGACTTATTTATTGGCAAAAATGGCTGAGGCGATGCGTCAGACCGTGGCTGGAATGTTGAAAGGCATCGAAAGGTATCGCTTTTCATTCTCGTAGCAGCGTTTATTGACCATGCGAATGCATTTTCCTATGACACGCCGACTTTGCTTCTCGCAAAGTCTGGAAATTTCCGGCACGAAAATGAGAAATTACAATTTGTCAACGCGATCCTCGTTTCCGAATTAATAATTCCCCTCTTCCGTCCGTTCACATACTGACCACAGTGTAATATGCTTTCAGATACAATCCGGATAACCTCACGACTTTGGAGAAGTACGTGGAGATACAGTCCAGGGAGAATGCTTACGATCGGGAGGCAAATCTGGCCGTGCTGAAACTCTACCAGTTAAATCCGCAGCGATTCAACATGGATATCACGTGTCAGATATTGCTCAAGGCACTGACCAATCTGCCACACGCCGATTTCGTCCTGTGCAAGTGCCTGCTCAGCGAGAAACTGGTAAGTCTTCGTTGAAACGGGATAATTTTCTTTTCCTTTTCTTCGTAAATGTATTTACATGAAGTTTTGTTGATCTCTAGATGTCGGAGAGCCCGATTAGTCAAATCATGTACCTGGGAGATATCTTGGAGCGATGTGACTTCCAGCACTTTTGGGACAGGATGCTGACCATGTCGGAGCTTTGCGACAGGATCGTGGGTTTTCAGGACTCGATAAGAAAGTTCGTGTGTCACGTAGTAGGAATCACATTTCAAACGATAGACAGAGGACTCCTGGCACAATTGCTCGGTGGCGTGGACGGTGTGTGATACTAAGCTTTTAATTTTATACTGTGATATTGCACGTATAAAGAGTTTATTAAGCTTCTTTGTCTCTTTGTAGATGCAACGTTGAAACACTGGGTTAAGAAGTATGGTTGGAAAGAAGAGAGTAAAAATATCATCTTCGTAGCGAATCAAGATGAGAACATTAAGACCAAGAATATCACTGAAAAAATTGACTTTGAGAACGTGGCAGGTTTGATGGCTGCTTGTCTTTAAAGCTATTACAGATTATTTCTAATAAAATTTATTACAAAATGATCATTCATCACAATCAATTTAAAATATTTGTAAAATATTTTTCACAAATTGATTGGTAAAGATCCATTTCCTTCACAATTTTTTGTTTGTTTTTACAAAGGAAAAAACAAAATGTTTGTGTATGCGTCGTAATAACAATCTGTTCCATTTACGAAAGATATTTTATTTCACAATGAACTTTGACATATCTCTGCCGTGTTCTCCATATCGTTTGTCTTCATTGCCTCATCCGTTTTGACATCAATTTCCTCATGGCACTTAACAGAACTTTTTTCTGTATTATCTTTTTCAATCTCCATCAAGTCTTCGCTACTACATTCATTTACATTGGTGGCTACATCAAGCTGCATGCTCTCTGCAGCATCCTGAGCAGCGGATAAAGCGGCCTGCGTTTCCGCCGAAGTGTCGTTCTTCAATATCTCACGTAGAGCCATCGTGGCGTAGCTGCTAGACTTCAGACACATTTCTACGATCAATGCTTTGTTCTTCGCATCTGAAAAATAGTATACATACAATAGCGTGAATTATTCTGAAAACGAGTGTTTTGAATAGGCGTAACTGATTTATACTTGGTTTATCCTGCGGAGATGTGAGCTTCCTCATCTCGTCGATATCCGACAGAATTAGATCGTCATGCTTATTTTCGTAATGCCTAATCTTCCAAGATAGATTCGTCGGAATTTCTAGTATATTTCTATAGGCTCCGCTCAAACTGTATTTTCTAAAAAGAGATAGACGACGGTAATGATTTATTATACAATAGCGTTTGTAAGCGAAACTCACTTATTGCTCTGCCTGAGATCGGTGGTTAATCCATCCTTGGCTAGAAATTCGTCGAACCAAGCCTTCGCGTACGGCGGATACGTAACTTTCCACCCGGGTTGAGGCATGATCACGTCGGCCAGAGTGTAACTCGACAAGTCCTCTTCCGTAAGAATTTTCACCGGAATATCATCCTGCTCCGAATTCTCTTTACTCACTTCGCTCGACGTTTTCGGAACAGTGTCCTTTTCTTCGAGAGAAGTAACGTCAGTTTTATCTCCAATGGCATCAACGTCATGGAAAGGATAATCCGTAGTTTCGTCACTTATGATCTCCTTGCCGTTCTGCTTGTCATAAACCAAATCACCCACAACCACATCCGTCCCGAACTGCTTCATTCTTCTCGACACGATGTGATTCCATACGAAACTTTGATAAGCGTGAATGTACATTAATCGAATGTTCCGAGGCACTGAGTCGAGCACGCCCAGGGGATTCTTGTCACCCGATATTTGCAGGCCTTTCAGAAGTCTGGCCTCGATCGTATCGATCCTCCTGAGCTTGGCGTAGGCGGCACGGGCGTCCTTGGTTTCCGCGTAGATTTGCCTGGCCTCCGCCAGTTCCTTATCGTTTTCCGGCCGCGGTTTCAGAATCAATTCGATCGCTTCGTGCCATTTACCTAATTGATTAAAGACAGGTGCGTGTTATACGTAAATCAAATAGAAATTTCCTAACAGAAAAATTTCATAACAGAAAATGATAATCACCCTGAAGCAGACATTTCCCGATCTCGTGCGTGGGTATGGTAGCTACCGAGCCGAATCTTTGCAAGCCGTAATAATTAATGAAGCCGCTGTCCCGCAGCGACGTCATCGCTCGCTCGATCTTGTCGTCCGTCTCGCAAACGTTTCTCAGCGCGATCCTAAACTGATTACCGCGCAGCATCCCTAATTTCAGGCTGTCTTTAGCGTACTTAAAGTTCCCCACGTACGCGCCGCGTATACTTCTACCCGCTCGCAATACGCTCTGCGGCTCTACCTTCCGCAGGCTCATCCACTGAGTCGTCCACGCTCGGCGATCCTTCGTGCCGGCGTAACAAACGTTATTCGGCTGCAGCCGCAAGCTCACGGCCAGCTGATTCACCACGCTTATGGTGTCCATGTTCACTTTGTGCAGCAGAAAGTGACAGTAATCCCCGCCGCATCTGCTCCAATCTATTCTCTTGTCTTTGCGCATCTTGTGAACTAGTACAATTAAGAATTAGTAAGTATTAAGTAAAATTAAGAAGTTATTATAGAAATCCTCTTTTATATATATATATATATATATATATATATATATATACCTATATATATATATAAAAGAGGATTTTTATATATATATGAAATGGCAAAATTTACAACTTACCGCTCTTGTCGCTTTGTGTATTTGGCACAATCGTGAGGAACTTCTTGTCGTCCCTGTCTATCGTCTGGCTGACGACATTCGCCAATTTCTTTGCAATCGTATGGATGGTCCTGCGTTCGACCTTGTCGACGCTGGTCACGTCAATTTCCACACTCGCGGGGTTCTCCTTTCCCAAAGCTTGCAGCTGGTCCCATATCGCCGGCGACACCGACGCTCTCAGTTCCTCGATACTCTCGTCGTCGCAGGGATCACGCGGGACGTCCTGACAGGTCAGCTTGGCCACTCGCCCGTCGAGGTCTATCTCGTTGACGTGAAAGTCGTTGTACCTCTCCTTGATTATCGCGGAAAAGCCCGGGTGCTCGCCGATGTACTCCGTAATTCCTATGTCAGATTCCTTCAGTCTACTGCCGACATCCAGCTTGCGCCTCTTGGCGTTTTCACGCGGCCGCGACCGGTCGAACGTGCGCTTGAAGCCCCCTCCGCCGGGCTTGTTCTGGCAGCCACCTTCGGTGAGACAATCGTCTTTTAACGATCGCGGCACGTTTTAAATTAACGCGTCGTTATCGTAGTTAAATCACCGGATTACCTTACCTCTTCGCCTTGATCCGCGTCCGTAGCGATGCTTGCCGCCTTCGGCAGAACCTCCGTCCGCGATAGCGGCATCGGTCAACATCGTGATTCGACGGGTACAATTAGTATTCAACGAGACAATTGCGCGCAATCAGCTCATGCGATATCAAGTCTGAAGATTCAAAGGTCCAGTTACTATAATATAAATGTGGAACGTCGGAAATCTGTCAACGGCGAGACACGCGGTTATGCACAATATACCCACGTGTCACGCTGTGCGGGCTGTGCCTCTTCCCGACGTTGAACAGTTGCGCCATCTCGCTGGGATTTTCCGCACTCGAACGAATTAAAATTAGACTCGCGAGGTACAATATCGGTGTTCGGTACGCGATCGACGTCAGCGACTGCAGCGCGAAAATTTCCTCGACAAAATGGCGTCCGGTTCCTGCCGAATTAGCCACGCGTCGATGCGAATCAGCGTAAAATGGGTAAAAACATACAATTATAGACATTCGCTTTAATGTATTTCGTAGTCACGTGTCTCTGAGGTTTGAAAATTCATCTCAATCGTGTAATCTCAGCGACGCATACCTCTCTTTCCTCGCACGGACATCGATCTCTCCGTTTCCCGATTCCACTGTGCCATTTGCGCGTCCCTACTCATAAAAAAGAATATCAGTTTTCAAAAAGTATAATCGAGAATCGTAATCTAGAAATGAATTCTACATTAATAACTAAAGAAAGACATATATAAAGATCATACATATACGTTCTATCTCATCTTGATGTAATAGCTATAAATATATATATCTAACCAATACATTTTATTTTCTATATAGGGCATCAAGAAGAAAGGATAATAAATCTTCGCGGTATAGAAACGAGTCGTTCCAAAAGGTTGTCGAAGCGTATACAAGTACGTAATAAATTCCTCTTCCGTTCGAGGGAGAGGAGAGAGAGAGAGAGATTCGTGAGAAACACGGAAGGCAGTCAGCGTTGATCGCGCGTGAAAATGTCGGGAGAGTAAACGCGTCGCCGTGCGAAGGAGAACGATAAAGCGTGAAAGCAGAATAAAAGCGCTGGATGGAGAGCCAGAACGAGGTAAAAAGAAATCTCGGAATATTGCGTATATACGCGTGACGTTTTCCTTTTGAGAGAAAATATGCTGCGAAGGGGGTAGTAACATCCATGGCATGATTTGCAGGTGCATCGCCGAACGGTTTCCCTGGAGAGAATCGCGGAGACGGACGGGAAAAAATTCCGCTCGGGGCGACGGAAGGAGTCTCCGAATAACGGTCCTGCTGGGGGTGGGCGCACGCACCCTCGCGCGGAGCACGAAGCGGCCAGATGGGCGAACGGGGAAGAGGGATGGCGCGCGTACGCGCGCGGATTACTACGCGGCACGAGTGCGCGCGGGGGCGTAATGGTGGGGGAGGGCGGAAGGACGCGCCGTCAGTTCAACGCGAGCCACGGACGAGTGTGGGTCGCGCTCGCGCGCGCGTGCGTGTGCAGATTCTATACCGTCGGCGTTTTGCATCAGTGGGCGTAATTGGTGCCCGTCGTCGCCGTCGGCGGATTGACGGTCGACGACGACGTCGACGCGGCGACTTCTCGGCCCCGCGAACGCCGTCGCGTTTCGCGTGAAGATCCGCGGACGTTGATAAGCCGCGAGTGATAACCGCGCTTGTACGCCACGCCGAGAGAGACGTCTCGCCCCGCGCGCGGCGCGCAGAGATCCGCGATGCGGGCTCGAGTGCCGCGATAACTTAGCCGCGTACGTACATACATACATAACGCGATTACGTGCGCCGTAGACGTACGCAACAACGCGGCGCGACGCGACGCGGGAAAAACCGGATGCGCGTGTCGACGACGAGGAGGAGCGGGGGTGCCGACGCGGGATGAGCGCGAGAGAAGTCACCCTCTTCGGCGGGTCCCCCTGGGGCTTCCGCATGCACGGCGGCTGCGACACGCATCAACCCCTGCGCATCTCCAGGGTGAGCGAATGTCAACGATACATTTCTGTCGCTCGGAGTCACGTGATCGCGAGTCTCGAAATAATTGGAGTTTTGCTATACGTATGTATGTACATACGACTTGAACTATGTATATGCGCGTCCTATCTCGCGGTCACGTGATCACGCGACTTTTTTTTTTAAATATACATTTTTGCGAGATTATTTTAGAGATAGATTACGCAGAAAACGAAATCTCTTGGTAAAAAGATGTTGATAAATGATGACGACATTATAATCGTATATGTATGTATTATATATATTGCATGGAACTATATAATTATTGCACAACGAAATATAGCACGTCTGATTACTCTGTGCACGATGCTAATTGTTATTAATGACAGCAATTATTTGCCTACTTTAAAGCAAGGTGGGCCAGTCATGTAATTTATATGCGACGCAATGCATACAGAGCTGAGTAGTATATGTAATCATAATTATATTACATCCCGAATTTGAATATTTGATGAAGGCGTATTGCTGTAATCGTTAATTAACAAATATCGCATTACCCATATATAGACAGCTCAAGCCGCAATTCCGCGATTCGTCGCATTATTAATGTCGACGAACGTTCAAACTCGGTCGATTTTAATCCGCTGGATTATATTTCCGCGAGCTTCGTCGCGCTTCTCGCGAGAGCGTCGCGCGTACATACGATACACACAAAAATGAAATAGTAAAAAGGAGGAGAACGCGCGCGCGGAAAGAGCCTCCGCTCGCTATTATCCAATTTGGGCTTGCCGCGCATCTTGGGCTTACCGTTTATCACCGTAAGCGGTGAAACGAGATAATCGCGCGAGTGGAAAAAGTTGCATCGATCCGCCCGCGTCGTGCGGTATACTTTTATCACTGGACGCGCCACCGTAATTTTTTTCCCCGCGACCGCCGCTAAATCCCCGTACCCGTACATTCGCGTAGCCCCAGCTCCATCATTCTATATAGACGACTCTCCCACGAGTCATAAAAATCCGTCCTATTTTTCCTCATTTTCTTCTTTTTACAAGGATACTTGTACACGCCATGTGTTACATATTCCGAAATGAAACGTTGCGCAATTTTCCAACTCGCCGCCGTAATTTTCTTTGCGACCGTTGCATATCTGCATCTACTCACATATAAAGACTTCATTCTATGGACAACTTTTTTTTTTGGTTTACGAGAGTAGAAATTTTTTTATATTTTTGCTCACAGGAATATTAACGCGATGAAAAAAAAAAGCAAAACAGTGCAATAATTAAGTCTGTGATTAGAAAATCCGTGCGAGACGGCTTCCTGTTTATCCGAGCGTGAATTAAGATAATTTATTCAACGTGTATTATGCGTAATCGCAAGAGGCACGTAATCGCGGGACTTTAAAATGCGGTCGGCTAGCTACGATTTCAGATATATAGTTTTACGATTTGATAAAGCCACGGCGAAGGTCGCCGACAAGAGCCTTGACGTGACGTTCTTACCTCGTTCCTACCTGTCGTTCCACGTGACTTCGTAATACCGAGGAATCTCGTTCTATACTCGCATAATTTTTTTTTGTCGACCACACGTGCCTAGAGTCGATTGTAAATAACGATGATAAAAATTAGAGCGACCGCGTGCGGGAATGGCGATCGATTTTGGCACGCGATCATTCGGATTTCTCATTTTCTAAATTTTTTGCAGCAAAAATTGGTGCAGTTGACGAGGGTCGAACGAATGTCGCGGAAACGTCGGTGTTATCCCTTAGGCTGACGTTCTTGGAATTGATAATTCCGATCTCCTCCCGCGTCTCTCTATTCGAGGGTATCGAGGCTCGATATAGCGCGCGCTACCTATACTACTTTGAAATTGTAGTCAGCAGTATTTCTGGCTAATCGACTTTCGATTCTGCTACGTCGGCGAGTCGTGTGTGCACGTCGCGCTCGCGAAATCGCGTTAGAAAAATTATTATTTTTTTTTTGTGTCAGTTTCGAGGATGTTTCCCACGTGTCGCGGCTTGTCGCGCCGCTGCTACGGACGCGCGACACGCGACCTTTTATTATGTAACGTAGGTGATGTTGTGACGCGGCAAAGTGATTCATAAACGCTACAAGCGCGCAAATTGCGGCGCATGCCGTGAAACAGAACTTTGTTTGAATTGCGTATCGTGCGCGTGACGCGAATGTAACATTTACAACGCTGCATATACACACACCGCGCGCGTTTCGAGCTCGCGAGAACGGCAGAGGCATTCTTTCGTTCCGGGCCGGCGTGGGTCAAAGATCTCGCTAAAATTGCGGTAGTTCGCGGTATTTTCGACTCGGCGCCGAAACACAGTCTATCGTCTATATAGTGTCGGCATTTCCACAGGTTCCTCCGATAACGATAGTCTTAAGGTTTACTCACAGATTAGCGCGAGTATCTCGTGGCGCACGTTCGCTACATTTATCGCTCGGTTAAGTCCCGTGTTTAGATTAATTGTTCCAGCGGTTTCGCGTTCGCAGTGTTCACTAAAGGAGCAATTTGCTCTATAAACGAATACACGAAGAGATTACAAATTTACAAAACGTTTAGGGAAAAAAATTGATTTATTACATATACAAATTTACATGTAGTTATTGCATGCAAATTACACAGTTTACATACGTTGTTGTAATACACTTTTAATCCCGAGTTTGCCGCTGTCACCCAAGCGCGTTGACGCCGAAGATTAGTGCGCGTCGGCGGCGCCCGTGTGTGTACACAGCTTAAATTCAAGGCTTAGCTTTGCCCGATCGGTTAATGTTACGCTCGACGAAGAGGTACAACGATGTTCTTTCACATGCGGCCGGTTCAGGCACTTCGGTCCACTTATCAGTGCCGTCTGTGCAGAAAATTATCCTCTCTTGAGCGAGCAGCACGTGTTCGGCATTAACGTTTCGCTAACTACGTTTCGTATCACGTCGAATATACACGAGATATATGTGTCGCTGCTGCAGGCGAATTAAGAATAATTTAATCGATCTAGGTCTCGCAGGAATGACTAATCCGCAGTCATTTAGCTTATCAGACCCAAAAGCTCGTTGTAATCCGATCATGCACGTATACACATTCACGTACACACGTTTTTTTCTAGCGACAGTGAGTCTGAACAGAGTTTATAAAGAAGAATGACAGGAAGATCTAATCAATCTAAAAATAGTAGGAATAAAAACACGCGTGTGTGGGCATATCGATGGAGCGGGATATAGCAAAAAGATTGAAGCTAATTAATTATTTATACTCACTCAGGGAAATGTTTCGCTGTTCCAGCCAGAATTCTAAAGATTACACTTAAATTACATCGCTGTTTTTTGTATCTGCTAAAAATTGTCTGTCATACATAGAATTTATAGCAGCAATATTCTAAGAATATATACAAGAAAATATAGGTCTCGTAACCAAATAAGATTGGAGTGTGGATTGGAGTCTGGACTGATTAAACGTCATAGAGGAACTTTCTTGCTAAATTTGACAAATAGTTCAGATATAATTTCTGTCTCTATTTATATTGATTAAATACAAAATATATGTGTATAGCAGTGCCTACTAATCATTTATCCGTTTTAGCTAATTTTTCGTACCTAAATAATTCTCGCTATAATTACAAGATTACTTTTTTCAATGCTTCATAATAAGAAGTTAAGCAAATCCACAGGCGTAAAACGAGCTCTCGTTCGACACTGAAAAAAGTAATCTTGCAATTATAGCGAGAATTATTTAGGTACGAAAAATTAGCTAAAACAGATAAGTGATTAGTAAGCACTGCGATACCACATATGTTTTGTATTTAATCAATATAGATATAACAGACAGAAATTATATCTATTTGTCAAATTTAGCAAGAAAATTTCTCTATGACGTTTAATCAGTCCAATTATATTTGGTTATGAGACCTATATATTCTTGCATACCTATATTCTTAGAATATTGCTGCTATAAATTCTACGTATAACAGATAATTTTTTAGCAGATACGAAAAAAACAGTGATATAATTTAAGTGTAATATTTAGAATTCTAGCTGGAACAGCGAAACATTTCCCTGAGTGATCGATTCTTAAAAATTAATGCGGCACTATCTCTCGACTAATCGAACTACAACTTACAAAAAGGCGGAAGGCGGGCCGCGGATGCGGAAGAAAAACCGAAAACGGAAGAGCATATCGCGCCGACATTGACATCGCGTTCCAAGGCCGCACGTAGGCAGAAACTGGCACGCATCCGTGACGCAATCGTGTGTGAACCTGTGTAACGCGAGGAGCGCGTCTCGTGCCACAATTAGCGCACGTCGTTGCACACTGCGAAAGGCAAACCGATAAAGCGACGCGAGAGCCGGTTTCCCGCAGTCGATCGACGTTACGCGGCGCGACATTTCTCTTTTACTTTTTCCGCATTTTTTTCCTTCGTCAGGTCGTTACCGCGAAAGTCATCGTCCAAAGCCTCGTTCTCGACGCGCGCGTTTACGCCGACGCTTTTTTTTTCCATTTCGCGTTTTTGCGTCGGCGGTCTCTTTAATCCTTATACGCGAGCGAGCCGCCTCTCTCTCTCTCTCTCTCTCTTTCACTCTCTTCCTTAATTGAGGGAGAACACTGCATAAGTGCCGGAGTGTAATTGTTAAAGGAGCTGGCGTGTAACGCGAGCGGGGACGAACGTAATGAATTTAATCAAGATTTATTCTCGGCGACAGGAACGGAAACGTTGTAATAGCGAAATGAAATTGTTGGCGAGGAGGAGCTCGAGAACTTAAAACGCCCTTTACGAGCGCGTGTGCCATTTCTTTTTTTTCTTTCTCAGGCTCGCGCTTCGTCCGCCGTCGGAATTGCCGCCGCGGTTGATAATGGGCGGTTTATGTTCATGAGCGCAAATGGATTAAAGGCCGCGTCCCGCTATTCTTCCGTTCTGCAGCGGTGGTCTCGAATTAACATGGTGACCCTGTTAGAGCTACTGCGAACCGAGCGCTAACAATCGCACGACATGTAGCCTAATTATCTGTCAAGAGTACGTC